TGCCGAGGCAAACCCTCCCCCAAGTATTCTAGTCCTGAATAGTCCCAGAGAGCCCGTGCCACCGGACAATAAAGGAACAAGTGCTCCATCGTCTCCGGGCCATCCCAACAAACTGGACACCGAGGTAGGACTTAAACCTTTTCCCAAGAAGCGCCTCTGTAGTCGGCAGAGCCCGATTAAGAATTTGCCAAACAAAAACTTTCAACTTCGGAGGGATCTTCGCCTCCCACACTCTAATCCAACTTGGCTTATCCATCCAGCTAACCGAGGATCGCCATCCACCCCTCTTCCTGTCCAAGTCTACAGCCAAATGGTAAGCCGACTTTACCGAAAACACCCCATCAGCCGTAAAATGCCAGATAAGCTTATCAGGCACATCCCATCACGGGAGAGGAATAGCTTTAATCTACTGCATTCTTCGACTTAAAGTTTATACATAAATTGAATATAGTTATGATTCACGTAATCCTTTTTCTTGTGTACAATTTTAATAGAATAACATATGATGGATGCATTTGTTTATAACATTTTTAGCTATTACAACAAATATTATGAAAAAAACAAGACATATGTTGAAGTAAATCATATTTTATTAAAATTTAAACAACATTTGTGAATTTTGATACCTTTCACCTTGGTTCATTCGTTTGAAATTTTAATTAGTTATAAAATATTTTTATGATCTAGAATAATTATATATTTACGTTGGGTTGGATTTTTACTTAAAAATATCGCCAACCCGACCCAACCCAATTAGAAACAAACCATAGGGTTTAAATTTTTTTGGGTGGGTATGAGTTTGATATTTCCCAAACCGTAATGCATGGGTCGGGTGATTAAAATGACTAAACCTGAACCACTCAACCCATGTACACCCCTAACGACAATTTTACTAAATTTGATAGTCAAATTAGACGGTCAACCGAGCTAACGTGACAAGTGAGGTGAACCTTGACTAACGGTCGACTCGGTTGACCGTCTAATTTGACAGTCAAACCTGCCTCCGGACCAAATAAGGAAGTATGTTGCATAATTTAAGTCAGAATAGCAATTTTCGATATTACGGATCAAAATAGAAAGTTTGTCTAACAATCAATTCAGTCAGTCTGCACATCTTCTTCCTCAACTAACAAAGAGAAACGATAACATTAACAACACAAATCTGCTGGTGCAATTCAAGTCTAGTTTGATCACTTCGTAGCCGTGGGTAGTACTTAGTAGTAGAAGCTTTAGTTGCCAAGCCTCTGCCTCTTTGTCGGACTTTCGTCACCGCCTCCGTCGCCGTAACATGCATCTTCCGACGGATCCGGCCGGCGGTGCTTTCGCAGGTAACGCTTAGCCATCTCCACAAGTCGTCTTCTCCTGTCATCCATTACGAAACCTCTACTTTCTTTCCACGGCAGCGACGCGGTGCTTCTCGATCGTGCTTCCTCCCTTGCGAGCCCAACAATGGTGCGGCGGCCACCGTTGATTTTCTCCTCCTCCTCCTCCTGCTCCACCGAAGATTCCGGCGGCGGCGGATTGCATCCTAGTTCTGCTTCTGGCATCGAATCGGCATTAGAGAGCGGAAGCACGTTGGCGATTTCTTTCGCTTTCTTCGTCGGCTGAACAGGAGGAGCAGAGTACTTCTTCTTCTCCTTCTTGTTCTTGCGTTGGCTGCGGGGATCAGCGACGGAGATGGCGGAGTCGGCGACGTCGAGCACTCCCGATTGGGTCCTGAAAAGGATCCCGTGGCTCCCCATTGCCGGGTAACGGAGCGCCATTTTTGAAAATTCAGGAAACTGGGGGCAGAACAGAAACAGAACCGATCGAGCAAAGAATTGGAAAGCGGGTGTTCTTGACCTGTAAGAGTAAAAGAGCAAGTGCGAGTGCAGCAGCGGCTAAAGGGTTGATTCGTGATGGGAGAAGCTAGATTTATAGCAACAGTAAGCGGTTTCCTAATCCTGGAAGGATGTAGTATTCCCTAAGCTAATCCTAGTCGGAAAAGGAGATGATCGATCATATTGCCATGCCAGGTCTGCACATGGCCCATGGGCCTAAAACTGTTTTGATTAATGGTTTTGGAGAGCCATGGATTTGGCCCGAGACTCAGATGAAGAGCTGTCCTAGTTTGGTTCTTGTGGAAGGGAGCATAATGCATAGGCTATCTTTTTTTTTTTTGGGTAGAAAGATGACGCACAAGGCGTCTAATTCATAGAAACAGAACGTTCATGGACAATGCCCATTACATTATGTTGAAGCCAATAAATTAATCCCCTATCCCTTACATTGAGATTATGTGTACCAAAACTAAGATCATGGCCCAAACTCGCCAAGTGGTCGGCAGCAAAATTGGTCTCCCTGTACACATGAGAAATGGTAACCTCCCAGTCGAGGTTCAAAAGAATACTAATTTGTTGTGCAATGCTCCCATGGCAATGGTCGTCATTCTCGCACTTTTTAATAATATCAATTGCAGTAGTAGAGTCCATGTTGAGATTAATCTTTCGACATCCCTTCTTCCAAGCAAGCTTCAGTCCCTCGGCTGCTCCCTTCAGCTCAGCAGCTGTTATAGAGCAATTCCCCAGGTTACAAGCAAAAGCCTCCTTGCAGTTCCCAAGATGGTCTCTCAAGTGTCCGCCTGCAGCAGCACTACCGGTCTGGGGAATCACAGATCCATCGGATTGGATTTGGATCCAACCTTCCCTTGGAGGTTCCCATCCCACTTGCTTGACAGATCTGACTCTGGTCTTCATGTTGGTCACTTTTTGTACATTCTGATAGGCTTGCGCTTGCCAAACAATGTTGAACAAGGCGTTAATCCTTGCAATGAGCCCCTCTTTTGAGAAAATCTTCCCATCCATCACCTCCTCATTCCTCTGCTTCCATAGGTGCCAGAAAACGATTCCAAACTCCACTCCCGTATTCTCATCACGCAGATTTGTAATCATCCAATCTTGCATAGGTAGGTTTGTATTCTTCTCCGCCATCTTGCTGTTCATCCTCTCCCAGATGCTTTTGGCCTTAGTGCAGCTTCGAAGGATGTGCTCAATTGATTCTTCATGGTGGTTGCAGTGCGGGCAGGAGCTGTCATTTGTGATCTTCCTTCTGGTTCTCTCTTTGTTGATGAAGAGCCGGTCTTGGAGAACAAGCCACAAGAAATGCTTTATTCTGCTTGGACCCTTCCACTTCCAAAGACTTTTCCAGTTATTGTTATATTCTCCATCGAGCTCGTTGGCCACAAGTTGATAGGCAGACTTCAAACGGAATCTTCCATCTCTTTCGAGCCCCCAGATGGTCATGTCCTCCCCCAGGTTGTGATAAGGCGCCTCCATCCCTGCAATAGAAACAAGGCGTCATCAGGTAAAACTTGCTTCAGTTTGTCCCGGTCCCACTCACCATCCTCTATGGTCCAATCGGCCACGGTAGAGGTTTTCTCCTCTTCAGAGAGGTTTGTGGTGCAATAGTCCTCCAAAATAACCCCATTTACCAACCATGGTTGGGACCAGAAGCTTGTGGTTTTCCCATCTCTAATGCTCCAAATAGTAGCTTCTTTCATCCACTCCATTCCTTTGACAATTGCTCTCCAGAAGCTTGAGTGGTTGCTCTTCTTCATTGCAACAATAGCTCCTCCTTTATGTTTGAAATACTTCCTCTGAAGCACCTGTACCCAAAGATCAGAGTCCCTATTCAACATATTCCAACCCAATTTGACCATGTCAGCCATATTCATATTACGAGCAGATTTCAATCCCAGACCACCTTGTTCTTTAGGTTTACAGATTCTATCCCAAGTAACAAGGTGGGGTTTTTTCTTTTCATTCGAAGACCCACACACAAACCCTCTAACCTTCTTGTCAATGATATCACACACTGAGATGGGAAGGATAGTGGTTTGCATAGCATAAGAGGGGAGGGGTTCAATATCGACATGGCAAGGGTAACTCTACCAGCAAGGGACAAGTTCTTGGCCTTCCAGCAAGACAACTTCTGATCAATTTTATCAATTATGTACTTATACTTTTATAGGTGTTCTTGTTGATTCTACCATGCAAGATAGGCACCCCTAGAACTTATGAAAGGGAGGAGGGTTGTTTACAAAGAGTTTGGAGACCAGCAGTGCCGTCAATCACTACCAGTCCAACGAGCTGGCCGAACGAACCCACTTCTAGGGGTGTACATGGGTCGGGTGGTTCGGGTTTAGGCATTTTAATCACTCGACCCATGCACTACGGTTTGGGAAATATTAAACCCAAACCCACCCAAAAAAATCTAAACCCTACGGTTTGTTTCTAATTGGGTTAGGTCGGGTTGGCGATATTTTTAAGTAAAAACCCAACCCAACACAAAATATGTAATTATTCTACATCATAAAAATATTTTATAACAAATTAAAAATTCAAACGAATAAACCGAGGTGAAAAGTATCAAAATTCACAAATATTTTTTTAATTTTAATAAAACTTGATTTACTTCAACTTATGTCTAGTTTTTTTCACGACATTTGTTGAAATAGGCTAAAAAGGTTACAAATGAACGCATCCATAATATGATATTCTTTTAAAATTGTACACAAGAAAAAAAATTACGTGAATCATAGCTATATTAAATATATGTCTAAACTTTAAGTCGAAGAATGCATTAGATTAGTGAGACTTTAAGAGAAAAACATGGCGAAATATCTTAATTTTCTCATAAGTATGACTACATACGACATAAATATTTTTTTGGATACGAACTCATACCAATAATTGGAACACGGGTTGGGTCGGGTTCTACGGGTTGTGTAATCCAAAATCCAAACCCAACCCAAAAGAGGCGGGTTGTACAAAATAAAACCCTCACCCAACCCAAAACCTTCGATTTAGCGATAAATACGGGTCGGTTGGGTCGGGTTGGACGTGTGGGTCGATTTGCGGGTGTGTTTGTTCACCCCTACCCACTTCACTGTTTCTGGGGATTTTATTTGGGCAAAATATGTATGCTTGTATTCAGCCGTGCCCTTTTGCGTTTGACGTTAGTTAAACACCTGCTCCGGGTTCGGCTGGAGCAAATGCGATCACCGCATCCCAAATCCCAAAACAAGTGAATAAATGGCGACGCGACACGAAGAACCTGCCGGGATTACAGAAGAATCCGAAGCAGACGCGCATTCAGTAGGCTACTCAGATGAAGTTCGCAACCACATCCTTTCTCTCGCCAACGACACAGAAACCGCCGCCGTCTCCCGGCGATGGAACCCCGTTCTCTTCTCACTTCGTCTTCAACGACAAGCCATTCATGATTCATCTCATTCCTTCCTGGCCCTCCCCCCGGCCTCTCCGGCACCTGCAAACCCTAAGACCGACCACGCTCTCAGTCATGACAATAGATTCCGGCGATGAGGGCGGCAGTCTGCTGATCTCCGCCGCTCCCCAGCTGCAGAATGCGGAATCACGAGCGTGGATGTTCTCGTCGATTTGGGATTGATTGCCGCTCCTGAATTGACGAAACCCAGGAGACGAGATCTCAATTTCTGCTCCAAAGTTGAACATTTCCTTTAACTTAAAGGACTGCGGAAGCAAGGCCTGTTCTCCAGTACCAAGATGCGATCAACCTTCACTCCACCATCCTTCTCTCCAAAGGTCGTCAATCTTCCGCTTGAATTGCCCGTAACCCGGTAATATATCAAATACTTCCCTCAAGAACTTTGATTACATTGGAATAAGGAGATGCCTCCCGCAGAGATATCAAGATGTAGGAGTAGAGTCTATAGACGGTATCTTTTTGTACAATGAGAGACTCATATCAACATTAGCACAAACACAACAAAGATAGAGATTGCAGAGCCGAGAGGAGCATGGTTGATCGAGTAAGTCGAATCGGACTCGGAAGACCACGTTTCAGGGTCCATTTGTATCATTACCCTGAACCTGCATTCTCCAACTGAAGGGTCCTGAGCCACCACAGTCGAGAGACCATTCGGGAACTTGCACGCAGTTTCCAGCTGGTCGTTCTGCTGATAGTAGTCATTGTAAGCATAAGATATGTTCTGCTTCGGGTCCAGATTCGAGCATGATGTCCCGTACCCCAAGCTCGTGCAGTCTGCATTAGCACAAGCATAGCTCACGCTCGGTGCAACTTCCGGGTTATCAAGGCTTGCGTCTTGGGACATCACGCACCATTTCTGAGGCAGATATCGAACGCCTTTTGCTGGCACTAGACCATTCGAATTGGCTGCCCCGAGCTGAAGTTGGTACTTCGGTTGTCCATCGAAGTAAAACATCCCCCAGTGACGCTCGAAGTTGCCCGGCTCGATGCTCTTTGCATCTTCATCTACTAGACTGAAAAGATAAGCATCCACAGGTCCTGGCCTCAATGGAGTCCCCTGCCCTGAATTGACACGGGTCATGAAACCTTGGTTGAACCGCTGAGCATAGTTGAGGTTTGCATTCCTGTCTCCATCGGTTGGCCACCCGATCTCTCCAATGATTATGGACAAGTTACCGTACCCATTTTTCTGCAGGGCGCGGACAAGGGTGTCGTGGTTCGCGTCAAAGACGTTGGTGTAGATTGTCCCTCCATCATCAATAGGAGCAGCACCAGTGTTGTTGGTGTCGAAGAATGCAAACTCAACCGGGAAGCTCGGGTCGGAGTAGAGACTTATGAACGGGTAGATGTTGACTGTGAAGGGGGATCCATTGTCGCTCAGGAACTTGACGATCGACATCATGAGGTCGTGGATGTCTGATCGGAAGTCTGCATCAGACGGCCGGTTTGAAAGGCTCTGATAAACGTCTGCGTTGAGTGGGGTCGTGACTTTAACCCGGCTGGTTAGTCCGGCTTTGGATATGGCTGACTGGATGTTTTGAAGAGCAGGAAGCGTTGATCCCATGTAAGTTCCATTCAGAGCTTTTAGAAATGCTTCGTTCCCAACTGCTACATACCTTTTTTTTTAGATACAGAGTCAGATGCAACCTCAAAATAATCTGTTTGGAATTCTGCTCTATTTGCTGGAAGATTCAATTTATTAACAGTACTTAAAGCCTAGATTGTCAAATTCTACAACCATAACCACGAATTCCTTGTTTTCTGACGCTCTCTGTTTTTCTCACAATTGAAAAGGCATAGAGAAGGAAACAGATGGTGAGTTTACCTGATGTCGACGCCATTGGAGAGATGGGAAGAGAGATTCTTTGCTACCCAATTTTCAGCAGCTTGCTTACTTCGAGAGAGAGCCTCCAGCATATCATTGGGAATCCCGACCATGACCTGAATCCCAGACCCTCGTAGGGCGTTGAGAGCAGATGAGTTTGTATCAAACAGCTTCACCTTCTGGATTCCGTTGTCCTTCAACATCCTCACCACAGTTGCAGGCGGCAAAGGGTGAGTCGCCTGTGTCCCCCAATTCACCCCAACTCCATGGACAACATCCACCGCCGCTAAAAGCAACACCACCGCCACCGCAACCGCTCCACCGCCGTCCTGCTTCATCCACCCCATGTTATTAAGCTCTGAGCTTGTAAGGAGTTGGCATGGGGAGGGGAACCCTCTGATCACTGAAACAACTGATGATGATGATCAGACGTGGAAAAGGTTCGAACTTTTTGATCAGGAAAAGATGACCGATTCCAATACTTGGAATCGAAGGAAAGAGAAGAGTAGGGCTTAGGACGTCAGTAGTGAAGAAACCAGGATATGGGAAAGTTTGGAACTTGAGAGGAAGGAGGACAGATGGAAAAGGAGGAGAATGATAATTGATGGGTGTTTAAAGTTTTGGATGTCCACGATGAACCCTTTTGCCCTCTTTTTTTGCTTTTGTCGTCGTTGTCACTCTGAGAACAGTGGGTGGGAAACTTCGAGGTTGACATATCACAGTTTGGGCAATTCATTTGTGATGATGGCTTACTTTCTGGTAACTTCGCCTAATTTAAGTTCTGAAGTAAAAAATCACTGCTTTTTTATTGCTTCATATTGCTTCATGATTTACTAAGCTTGGTTTTGGTTTTTTATTTTTATTCATTTACAAGGTTAAGCTATATATTCCATTTTCTTATTTCGAGCATAGATACAATATATATTGTCTTCTGTGACAGAAAATAAGTCGAATCCCACTAACATCCGGACGATAAAAATAGAGCAGTACGAACCACCAAATGAGCTGCCTTGTTATTAACACGACCTATGACTTGAAATGAACTCCCCCATTGGACTCGAGCTAGAAATTTGTGAATAATGAACTTTGCATCCCCACAAATTGAGACAATAGGCAACCCTCGTGCATAGCATTCTTGGTGGCAATCTGATCACTCTAAACTGCACTAATAGCAATTCCAAGTGTAACAAAGACATGATCGCAATGTAGTGGCAACAAGTAATAAATATAGAATCCACATGTTTCTAGATGTACTATTATTGAGCTTCATTTTATGATTTAAACATGTTTATAGAAGAGTAAACTAGTTTAACAAAAAAGCACATACTAACCTAACCAATTACAGTTTAGGAACTCAATCAGGTATTATTCCCCTTAGCCACTAGCCGAATTAATTATCGATGATTCCCTAACTTGTTTCACTCTTCGTACATAATGCGAAAAGTCATTAACAAGCCTTGAATCTCGATTAAAGCGGACAAGACCCTCTTTAATAGGTAGCTTAGAGTTAGAGGGAGATTATCCTAAACCAAGACAGAACTCTAAGGCAATTCAGAACTAGAATTTCTCTATTGGGTACGACTCTCACCCAATACAAAACAATGAATCCTATGGGGTTGAGCCCCTGGAAAACCTTATTTCTTTGTCTTATAACTCGAATTTTAGGTTTTTGGTCAAGTCTGGATGTCTCCAGGACAGGATTCCTTATTGCTCCTAAAAAAAATTAGTCTTTTATATGCGCATAATGAATCAGCGATTATTTTAGTCGGTCGGGCCATCAATTTTGGCTTTGGCCGTCGATTTTGGGTTTGGCCTCCTCTGACTTGTCAACTTGTTTGAACCTTTTCTCCATCGTTCGAACTCCGAATCAGTCCCTGTTTGATCTCACATGCTCGTATTATTGTCTTCTTTCATGCTATCAGTAGCCTCTATGATGATTTGGTTTGAAAATATCCAAAGACTACCTAAAAAGATATAAAGTGTGTAAAAAATACTCCTAAAGCTATCAAACGCACCTTTGAGAAAATACCCAGCAACTCTAAGCCATTATGACAACAAATTTATGGAAATCGTGTAAAACATGCCATTAAATAGGTATAAAACATGTATAATTTAAGATGTATCAAATACCCTACACTTACGCATTTGCTTGTTCTCAAACAAATTGATTCGAGCCATTCTATACATATTTTACCCCTTTGATTTTGCTGTTTTAGTTGTATACCATCACCTTGGAGCCATTTTATGCTAGGTTTTGTTATGTTTAATATGTTTCAGCTCTACCAGGTGAAATGGACAAAAGGATTGAAAGTCAGACGAAAGGAGCGAAAGTGGGATAAAGTGCTCGAAATTGCAAGGATCACGGTTCAAGGCAGATTATCACGAGCATGAGACCGTGAAAATTACAAGGAAACCATGAATAATGCAACTTCCCATGAGCATTTGGATGTCTCGCGGGCATTGTACACATCACGGGAACATGACATAAAGATTGCAAGGAGACCGTGAAGTGTGTAAGTGAAATGGTGTGTTTTGTGTCGCTGTCACGGTTTCACTGCACACATCACGATTGTGACGCTTGGCCATGAAGACTACGAGTATAAATATGAAGAGTGAGAGTATTTCAAGGAGAGAGAGAGACTTGGATCTTATTCTGCATTCTAGAGAGAGAAACAGACGAACCAAGAAAGATTGAAGAGGAATTTGAGCTACATACCCAAGATCAAAGTAGACCGGATTTCATCTTCAACACCATCCCAAACAACTAAGAAGGAGCGTAATCTTTTCATGGGCTTTTCCTTCTCCATAGTTATAGTTCTTTCTCTAGGCATGGAGTAGATTTTTCATTCATGTGGATGATGTGAACCCTAGTCTAGGATATTGTAGTTTTGTGATTGTGAACAATTCAGTATTTGGTACGCCTCTCCGATTAGAACAATTAGGCGGCTTAGGGCAAGTCAAATAGGGAATCCTAACTAGCTTTGATCTCCTAGCGGTATACATTATATGCGAATCACACTAGAGTATCAAGTCATCGACTCGACACGGAAGTAGCGAGACAATCATTCAAGTGATAGTGCACTCAAAACACATATGGATCACCAAGGGACACAATAGATTAGAAAGAGAATGCGAATACAAGCTCATGAGCTCAAACAGAGATGGACATCAGATCACTTTATGCCCAAAAAAAGCATATATGGTAGTGTAGTATACCCAACTTTGACCGAGGTCCAACCAAAATTCTATAAGTTGAAACACGCCTAAATTTGGAGGAGAGGTTGCTTATGGGCCAAGCAACCAAACCCAAAAGGGAAAATGGTGTTGGCCCTAACCGCCATCCAACCGCCCCTTGAGCCCTAACTCTCAAGAAGCTTATAGAAGGACCTTACTTCATCCCCAACTCTAAGCAATTCGAGTTCAAGTCGTACATTTTCCTCCATCGACTTTTTATGAAAGCACACCCAATCTAATGTCTCGTGTATGAAAAACCAATTTACTTTGTCATGTGCTTAAGCAAAATATATCTTCATCACCATCTACCATCGTTTGTTTTTTTAAGACCCATAGAGCGCACTAATAAAGAAACAATGATGTTATTTGTAATATGTTGTTCAAGAACAAACCTCATTTAATAGGATGAACCAACTGTTTAATCAAGGGTTTCAGTTGGTTCATTAGACATTTCTTGAATTCATTTATGCCATGTCATAAAGCCCAATTTATCTAAATTGGGTGGTTGACTTTGGGATTTCCTTCTTTTGGATATAACCAAAAGTATCTCGGTCACTGCTTCGATCTCGTTCGGGTTCATAAAAAAACTTGCCATGAACGCTGAGAATGATGTTGCGACAGTGTACCAACATTTCTGGTAAAACAGGTGAGGTAACCATCCTTACCCGGTGCCTTTAGGTCGCCCATACTCTTCATAGCCATCCGAACTTCATCATGTGAGATAGGTCAACTTAAAAAGGGGTTGCGACCAAGTTTGATTTGTCAAAAGCCGCTAGTATAAGACGAGTTCAGAGGATAATGCAATCCCCCTTCTTAGTATAATGGGGAAAAAACTCCTCCTTCTTGACAGTGCAATCCCCCTAACAGTTCAGAGGATAAGAGTTTTGTTGAAGTTCCCCACTTAAACGTTAAAATGTGATAAAAGCTTGTGTTTCGGTGTCCATCGGTACACCATGTGGGCCTAGCTAGCTTCTATAACATAAGAGGTCTTCTTTCCCGAGGGTACTCTCCGGCTCTGCTCTTGTGGATTGTTCATCCTTTAGCGAGTCTTGAGACGCTGACACCTTGTTATGGATTTCCAAGCACCAAAGCTGACGTAACAAATGTTTCTTCCTCTTGATAATGTGGTCGAAGACCTCATGGTTCCATTTCTTCAAGTCGACAGTAAGTATGTGCAAACGAAGTGGAAGATCTTCTGCCTTTTTCCAAGCCTTCCCGAGAACATTGATGAAGTTTTTGTGCCCTAACCATGTTGCGTGAAATCAATTGGGGCATTCCTTGCGACCCCCAGTTGGCAATGCTTGGACTAGAATAAGCGTGTGATCAGTTCTAGCCTTTCCAAAATTTGAGTGATGGTTTTCGAGAACTTCAAAAATTAATTTTGGTGTACCAAGTATATCGAGGACTCATAAGTTGACGTTGAAGAGGCAACACTTACTCACGCGCAAACGAAATAGTCGCCTTTTGGTGTGAGCTGAGTCTACAAGTGTTATTAAAGAAAAAAAAAAGAATTTGGATGCAAAATTTTGTGAACTTTTTATGATTATTCAAAATTTGTTGAAGGTAAAAACTCAGGCTTTATAAGTACATTTTATATTTCTTAGTAATTAACTTATAAAAATAATTAAAACCAATATAATTATTATGTTCTCTTCCACCTTCCAGTTCTCAAAATTGAATTCTTTTTAAATTAGCGCTTTCATCTTCACGTTCTCCCTATGTAACTCTTGCTAATGATTATGTTCCCTTTCGATTCTCAATATTGAATTCTTCTAAAATTATCGCTCTCATTTCGACGTTCCCCTTTGTAACTCTCACTCCCGTTCGACAGATTGGTTAACCTTACTTGGGCCTAGCCACGGGCTTTTCAAACATGAATTTGAAACTCGTTAGACGATTGTCAAAGATTTGATAGTCGAGACTTAAAAAAGTAAAAAACCCCTAATAAACGGGGAAGAAAAGAAACCCGGAAAAACCCTAGCCAAAACCCCAGACTTGGGAGCTCCAAGTCTCTTCTGCGAGTCTCAAACAGAGTGACCTGAAGTCTCCGTCTCCCACCACGCTGCAAATTGGATAAGGAACAACACGTTTGGGAACTAGAAGCTAAAATGCCGCTCGGGGATAAGCCAGGATGGGAGAAGTCGGAATCTCGTTACTGTGGAGTGGAGGCGGAGTTCGACGATGACATAGCTAACCTTCTCTCTTTCAATCTGAACCTCGGCGCATTCGATTTTGTCGTCGCTCCTCTGGTTCGTCGCCTACTTTCTTCCTTAGTTTCCTATACATTTACAGGTGTGATTGGTCGGTTAGAAGAAGGGGAAAAAGGAAGAATGAATTTCTGAATGACTGCTTTTGCTTGCCTGATTGGTGGGGCATAATTTTATAATGGACTTTCTGCAGGGAATGAACTGTGTCATTTTGTCAAAGAGACAACATGCTATGCCCACATTCATGGGAATTCTTTTGGTGTTTCTTCATTTGGTCTTCATTATTTACTTAGCCACTTTCTGTCTGGTTCCTTCTCCATAATGCAGCATGCATCATGTTTTGTTTCTGACTAATTGTACATATCCTTCTATGTAGATCTCTTTGAAGGAAAACTAGAACTTGTTTGCTTTTGTATTTTGTACAAGCTCCTTATCATTATGGACACAACTTGTTGATGCAGATGAACCCAACCTACCGGCCTAGTCTAGTGCAGGCAAACAGTGGTGGAACTTGTGTCCTGCCATTTGCTGGGTCCGACCTCGTCTTGAGTCCTTCTCAGTGGAGCAGTCATGTTGTGGGTATGAACTCGTGCAATTTAGATGGTTAACAGCCACATATTTTCTTAGTTACTCTGGTACTCAGCTCTAATTTGGTTGAGTGCCTTTATTTACTAGGGTGTTTAGCTTTTTCATGTACGGCGCTTGTGTGTGATATTTAATTTATACATTGTTGGGTTTTTTCTGGTTGTTTAACTATGTGGCCATGCAACTTTTACTAAGAAGCTAAAGGTCTAAAGGGAGAGGATTTCTTAGTTAGATTTGCTTAGGGAAATATGAAAAATAGTCCTGGACTCCTGGTCTGTTCAAGAAAGTTTCCCCCTTTCATGCATACATCCAGTGTTGTAGATTTTTTTTATGTGGCTTAATCCTCTAAACATGAATGCAGAACTTACCTTCATGAAAAGCGTAAGTCCACAATTCTCATATTATTGACGGGGCCCTTTTCTGCAAAGACTAGTGTTTTATATATCTTTTGGTGGTTGAGATGATTATGTAGCTGAATGCTTCCTAATTTGACTTGCAACCTTAAGAAATAGTTTGTTGAACTTCTTTTGCACACTGATTTAAACCTGGAATTTTTTTTTGGTGTATTTAGAAATTTTTATCTATTTGCTTAAGAAGTTTGTTATTAAGTAGATTTGTGAATCCTTTTTTCAGGAAAGATTAGTCATTGGATTGACTTGGATTCTGAAGATGAAACTCTTCGGATGGATTCCGAAACAACTTTGAAGCAGGAGATAGCATGGGCTAATCATCTTTCCTTACAGGTTTGCATCACTGCAATGATCTTAAGAAATGCTGAGGCCATTTGCAATGCTTAGGGATCCATATAATTTGGAAAGACATTGATTCGAAACAATAGGATGGAATATTGAGTTGATTGCTGAAATAGCATTATTTAGACTATGCAAATAGTGGTTTGAAAATATAAAAATGAAAACTCATTTAGACGAAGAAATTTATAGTTTTGGAGTAAATGAGCAGCCAACCTGATAATATTTGCTTGCCTTGTCGTTTATTAACTGTTATTGGGATATATGTGCTACCATCAGTTCTCAAAGATTGTCAAGGGAGTCACTGTTTCGTGAACCATACATTTGCTGCTACGAGCCTATGCCAAAATTAGAGCGCCTTTAACTTTTTATGGGATACTGCAGGCATGCCTTCTTCCATCTCCAAAGAGCAAGTCATGTGCAAACTATGCTAGGTGTGTGAATCAGATTTTACAAGGCCTAAACAATATACAGGTGTTGTTCTTCATCCAAATATGAATCTCGATTATATGTTCATGTATGTATATAAATCTGATTATGAATTATGCTCTTTCTTATACTTCTTTGTTTGTTACTTCTCTATCACAGCTGTGGCTTAGGATTCCCCTAACAAAGATTGATGATGCTTCTATGGATGCGAACTCTGGTGAATTGGTGAGTTTGTTATTTTCAATATTTGAAATTCTGCTAATTGACTATTTATAAGGGGACTGGATTTGAATTAAACTTATGCAAAGAGCAGTTGAGCATCCTGATCATGAGGAGGCACAGGATTAAGTAGATCAAACCAATTTACCAAATAGATCCTCCATTGGTGAGAAACTTGCAATTCGTAAGAGGCATGGCTGACTTTCTACCATGGTGAAAGACAAACTATCTAAAGAATCAGCAGAAGGTCCTAACCAGCTGTTCTCAATTTAAAAAATTTCTTAGCTTGAACCATAGCCCAAAACACTCAAGCAGGACAATTGAGCAATGTGCGCAGGATCAGGCACATGAGACTTGGCCTGGAAGATTATTAATCTCCTGTTCTGGTTACTTTTTATAGATTGAAGCACCTAACCCAAATTGTTCTCCATTAGTTCATTTGCAATTCCAATGTTCTCTTGACATTCATACAAGATACAGTCTTCACCACTCGGTTATACAGGAGACCAAGTGACAGACATTAAAGCATATGTAATTGGCAAGGTCTATGGACGGTTTTGGGGACTGACATTTTTTATAGTGAAATGTGCCCTAATTTGTTGAATCTTCTATAGTAAGACATCTTGCAAACAGATAGTCATAGTTTGAGTCTGTGTTTGAAGCTAGTTTCCCATTTTGGCTGGTCTTTCTTCAGGTTGATTCATGGGAACAGTGGAATTCCTTCCGTATTCTGTGTGAGCATCACAGTCAGCTTTCTGTGGCTTTGGATGTTCTGTAAGCTCAATTTTCTATTAAATGACGTTTGAGAATTTGTCAACTGAACCTCCTTTATTAATGATATATCTTTGTCTTGTAGGAGTTCCTTACCATCAGTCCACTCACTTGGTCGTTGGTTTGGCGAATCTGTCAGGGCCGCTATAATTAGTACTGATGTCAGTGTTCTTTTTCTTTCTATACTGTCCTGTTGATATATTAAATTAATGTCATTGGCCGTACTTACCTGGTGTTTGATTTTCTTGCGTTTCAGACTTTTCTCACCAATGCCCGAGGCTATCCATGTTTGTCAAAGCGCCACCAGAATCTGATTTGGGGCTTCTTCAATCACTCAATACAGGTGACTGAGGCATCATGTTCTCTTTTTAAATTCCATTTCATGTGTCGAAATTGTAGTTTTAGTGACTTCTTCTGGAGCTAATGAAATGGAGCGAAAACTTCTAGTGTCACATTCACGGAAAAGGTTGTCGCTTGGTACTTCTTTTCTCGGAATTCTATGTTGCCATCTAACCAGCAGCTTTTCAACATTCCTTTAGGTTGTTGTCTCTGGAACTTCTTTGCGCAACACTGCTGCCCCAGGTTCAGATTTGGTCACTAATCATTCAAGTGATAATGTTGAAAGTGAGTGATCTGCTCGTTTGTAATTTCAGCTGTGTTATTATATTTGATTCCGATTTCCAAAATGCTTATTGTTTAAACCTCTATAGATTTGCAGAAACATCCACTTAGGTCATACTTGGACTATATTGGTTATCTCTTTCAGAAGATGGATCCTCTTCCGCAACAAGAACGTTATGAGGTAGGTAGCTCCCTGTATCTCTCCTTCTCCATGTGCTTCCCCTACCGGCCGTCCTTTCTCCCTTGATCAATGATGTTTTTTATGTCTGTTTTTGACTCCTTTAGTCTATGTTTCCCATAACAGCTTGGTTACAGGGATTTCTTGCAGTCCCCTTTGCAAGTGAGTCGCGCCTGTGCTCTTCTTTTGTTTCCATTTTGTTGTGCATGCATGTGTGACTAGAGGTTTGTCACCGTTATTGTTGTCTTATTGCAGCCGTTAATGGATAACCTAGAGGCCCAAACATACGAGACATTTGAAAAAGATTCTATGAAGTACATGCAGGTCAGTGTGTTATTATTAGTATAATTACTTAGCGAGTTTTGCTTAAGGGGTTTAGTGGTCTACGGACGGGACTATTGCAAGTTTAGTGCACCCATTCATGGTACAACGAATTAAATACCTATCTTGGAACTTTGGTTACTGGTTCTTGGTAACACCTGGTCAATTGTCTGATATAATTTAGAATGCTTGTATAATCTGCTTAGTTAATCATGTCACAAGAATGTTAGTATGCTAGCTAATCTTGATGAAACAAATTTATTCTAGGGTAAATACAATTTAATATCCAAACCTTTCATTTTAAACAATATAATAGCCAAACCTTTTCGAAAACAATCTAATATCCAAATCGTCAACTTTCCGTTCGTTTGACCGTTAGTTGACACTTCAAAAAAGTTCGAAGTACGACGCTTCATCAATATTCATCGATATCTTCTATGAAAAACCACCAACATATTGTGGTTCCAAACCCGTGAAGTTCATGACTCCACCATGATGGTATAGAATTTCTAAATATTCAGTCATCTGCAGTGCCAAAACAAGAAAACAAAGTTGTATTGTGACAATTTCCCCTAAACAATGCTTTTTTGAAGTGTCAACCAACGGTCAAACGGACGGAAAGTTGACGATTTGGATATTAGATTGTTTTCGAAAATGTTTGGCTATTATATTGTTTAAAATGAAAGGTTTGGATATTAAATTGTATTTACCCTTTATTTCTATCGAACTATTCAACTTTCTCATCCCTTCCATATGTGGCATTCCTTAATGCTGAGCGTATGATTTCTTGGACCTTTAGTTTCGAAATTGTGTCAATTTATTACAGTCCAGTATGTTGTCTTCCTGGTTTCTCCCTTCAGTTTTTCTTCTGTAGTTTCTGATTTTCTTTTTAATAATCCCTCTCCTTGACCTTTTCCTGTTTCTATATTGCATTTTCTTAAAACCCGCTGATTTCTCCAGTACCAAAGGGCTGTCTCTAAAGCTTTGCTAGATAGAGTCCCTAATGAGGAGGCCAATGTAACCACTGTAAGTAATAATGTGCTTTCTTTGTCATATACTCTCCATTGTTTTATATGTTACTTCATATCGCTCCTTGTTCTCTGAAATTATGTGACATTTGAAAATTTGTTTTTTTTAATGTGCCAAGGTACTTATGGTAGTAGGAGCTGGACGTGGTCCTCTTGTGAGGGCATCTTTGCAGGTCCGTTTTCATACCTGCTCATGCAATTGAAGTAATCTTGCTTTGCTCTTAATCAGCTGTTCTAATTGATGTGAATTTTTAGGCTGCTGAAGAAACAGGACGCAAAATAAAAGTTTATGCAGTGGAGAAAAATCCAAATGCTGTTGTCACACTCCACGTAAGTTGCAGTTTCAGCTACACATAAAAAAATAAATCTTGCAAGATGGGTGATACTACTGTAGTAACAAGAAGTCCGGAATAAACTTAGTTATAATTTAATACTCAAATGCTTAAAACATTGAAGTAACCTTGAATGCTTCTTCATTGAGCCCTGATTTTTTCCCCGGACTTTTTCACAGAGTTTGGTAAAGCTGGAGGGATGGGAGGGCATTGTAACCATCATTTCTTGTGATATGCGCTACTGGGATGCACCTGAGAAAGCAGATATCTTGGTGTGCATCTGCTATTCTCAATTAGTGGTGCAATAATATAGCTGCTTGTTTATCAGGTTCATTATTTGGTTGTCAGGTAAGCGAACTGTTGGGTTCCTTTGGTGATAACGAGCTGTCACCTGAGTGTCTTGATGGTGCCCAGAGGTTCCTGAAGGAAGATGGAATCTCGATACCATCATCGTACGTATGCTCTTTTTTCTTGTAGAAATTGTGGAGAACCTTGAGTTCTCGCTTTCGTGTCGATGCCGTTAGATCTTGTTGTATGCTCTGGTTGTTGTGTATGGGCTTTGGATGCCTGCACATTTATTAGCTTGATGGGGTTATCTGTTCTCCATGTAACATTAATGCTAATATGGATATTGGTTTCTAGGTACACTAGTTTCATCCAACCGGTGACAGCATCAAAGTTGTATAATGATGTATCCTCTCCATTCTTCTTTCTCTCTCACACTCTCTCTGTTTTCATGTTCTCTGGTGAAGCAAACAATCTGACTAGCTTGTCATTTTGCTTAGGTTAAGTCACACAGGGATCTTGTGCACTTTGAGACTGCGTACGTTGTCAAATTGCACAATATAGCAAGACTTGCTCCACCACAATCTGTGAGCTTATCTGTACCTTCTTAACGTGGTTTGTCAAATTCATTTATGTGTCCAAGTGTATCAGAAGCAGTTGCAGGGTTTATTCAACTTGCACAAACTTTCATTTGCAGGTATTTGAATTTACTCATCCAAATAACTCTACTACAAAAAGCAATGAACGTTACAAAAAGCTTTTGTTTGAACTACCTGACGACACTGGATCAGCAATGGTTCACGGTATGTTGGGTTGGAAAACTGTTCCTTCTCCTGAAATCTATTACTATGATATCAATGATCTGCAGTGTGAAGGCTTGTTACTGTAGTCTGCGTACTTGGTGTGTGCTTTTGATAGAATGTTAACCAATACTCTTTTGATGATGGTGCTATAAGTGTCCTATAATCTTGAATGTTTACAGGTTTGTGGAATAGGAATCACTTGGGTAATTGAATAATCTGATCACATCTAAAATCAATGCATAGGCGTGCATGTGGTCTTGTCAGATTTGATGACAAAATTTGTTTAAACTAGAAGGAAAGTGTGTTTATGCATGCTACTTGAAGTCTTGAAGCACATCATTGTTAGCATGGGCAAGGGAAAAGTTTGCTCTATAGTGCTGGTGCTTCTGTAGTGTTTAATACTACCTTCACCCAGAAGCACTTTGTTAGTCTTGGAATACTTTCGTCACATTGCTCCTATAGGGATTAGTATCGTACATAGATGATAGAACCATCGTCTTTTAACTGTATAAATTCTTCAGTCTGACTGGGCTTTCTGTACCATGTTAATTTTGGCCTGTTGCAGGATTTGCTGGCTATTTTGATGCAGTGTTGTACAAAGATGTGCATCTTGGAATTGAACCATCAACCGCGACACCAAATATGTTTAGCTGGTACAGTTCTCTGCATTTATGCATGCATAAACACTCGCAGAATCCAACCTAAATATGCTTGGGTAGTGATGATGATCCGTCTGAATATCTTGGTAGAGAGCTAAGACCAAGTTATTGTGGAGTCCCCCTGATAAACCATAGGATCCACATATTTTTTAGTTGCTAGATCTATCTTCTCTAGTTAATCTACTTGTTCTGTTTGAAGACATTACAGACAAGTTACAGATGCTTTTAGAAGCAACTTCTTACGCATTAGTTATATGTTTAATTTTCAGGTTTGCAATATTCTTCCCATTGAGGACCCCAGTATGCATGAAACCGGGGTCTTCTCTAGAAGTACACTTTTGGCGCTGTTGTGGATCTTCCAAGGTAAATCACCATTTTGTTTCTGTGTCCAAGATAAATTAGCATTATGATGCATATAGTTGATAGCTCGGTGGAAGGTGAGATGGGACAAGCTACCACAAATCAATGCTCTTTTGTCCGGGACTATTTCCTAAGCGCATTCTCGCCTATAATTTCTTTCATGTGAATGCCTTCTGGGTACCGATGATCAGATCTAAGTGGGCTTTCTGATGCAGGTCTGGTATGAATGGTGCGTGGCAGCTCCGACTCCTGGTGCTATGCACAATACTAATGGTCGATCATACTGGGTTGGCCTTTAAACCTTCACCATCGACACCCTGGTTGTCAGTTGAACGTGTCTTTTTGTGGCTATACGACTGTTGTTAGTTGCGGAAGCAATCCTCTGGTCCAAGCTAATATGTGTACAACGGAGCTGGTTTATCTTCCCCAACACTTCGGCTGCTGCTGCTGCTGCTGCTGCTGCTCTGTACGATCTGACGCTGCTAGCCATGAGCAACCCACCCACCCGCTGCCAGACGTATTAGCTGTGATGCGTATTCAGGAAACTGGGTGTGTGGTGGTGGCCATGGTATTAGTTGTCCTACAAGTAATCGTCCGAGTTCGGGTTCCCTTAAGGATTTCATGGGATGTCAGTCGTAGGGATGAAAATGCTGGAACCGAAGTGTGATATCTTGTGTACTCTTTTAGGTGTTAGCTCCTTGGGTGGTGACTGAAACTTAAAAAATGTTCAAGTTGTTCCATCAGAATTTTGATCCGTCTGCCTTTTCTTGATGGTATGAGCATTTTGTGACCTTGTGCAACCGTTGCTTCCGTAACAAAAACTGTGGGATTGTTAAAGCCCACTGGACCATGTCAATACAATTGTTCTCGAGGTGTTGGTGATTTCGCCACGAAAACTGTCGCCGTCGAGGGTTGGATCCAAACCGCCATCACTTTTCTTAGCTATTAAAGCTCGTTCGACGCCGATCACTTGTGAAAAGCTCCAGGATTAACTGGCTGAGTGCGAGATTGTTTGCAGGAATTTTAACATGGTTGTTTAGGTTTAAAAAAAGGGTTAATACCTTATTTTGGTTCGAACTATACACAAACTTTCTACTTTGGCCCGTCGTTTCCGAAATTGCTATCCTGACCCGAATTATACACCATACTTTCTTATTTGGCCCGGAGTCGGGTTTGACCGTCAATTTGGACGGTCAACTCCGTTGACCGTTAGTCAATTGCTAGGTCACGCGCCACGTCAGCGAACCCGGATTAAAAAAATAGTATTTTGAATTTCTGTATTTTTTCCCTAATAATGATAATAATTATAAACAAAAAATTAATTAAAAAAAAAAAAAACAGAAAACCCAACCCAAAAACCCCTTACTTAATCCCCTCCCCTGTTTCTTCAATCTGGAAAAACCAATTACCATTCCCTTCCTCCTTCTCCCCGAAATCCTATCCCCTTCTCCTTCTCCGACGAGCTGCAGCCGCAAGAAAAAACGCAACGGCGGCGCCCTCGCGTACTACTCCTCCTCTTACTCTCTGAACCCACTTCCCTCTCCTCATTTCGTCCATCTCTCGAACTCTCTTGCTTTGCCTTCCTCTGTGGTCCCTTGCTTTGCCTTCCACTGAGGTACCCAAAGCTTCGCTTTAATCGGCTTTTGGAGAAGAGATCGATGGTTGGTCCCTCTAGAATGCGGCGCCTCGACTGCGACTTCCAAATCAGAACATTCGACCGAGATGAGCGCGGGGAGAGGAGGGCGGTGAGAGGAGCGGGTTAGGGTTTTGGGTTAGGTGAATCGTCGGGGAAGGAGGATTCGGGGAGGGGGAGTCGAGGAAGGAGTAGCGCGGTGAAACGGCAACGACGGCGTTTTCAATACACCGGCCGCCGCTGCATTTCTACCGGATCTTGACAAGGGGACTCGTCGGGGAAGGTGGGATCTGGGGAAGATGGGTTGGGACGGAAGGAGAATTTTTTTCCCAATTAAGGGGAAGTGAGGGGATAAGGTGAGTGGTGTGGTCTGATATTGGGTTTTTTTAATTAATTATTTTTGTTTATTATTATTATTAATAGGGGAAAAAATTACAGAAATTCAAAATACTATTTTTTTAATCCGGGTTCGCTGACGTGGCGCGTGACCTGGCAATTGACTAACGGTCAACGGATTTGATCGTCCAAATTGACGGTCAAACCCGACTCCGGGCCAAGTAAGAAAGTATGGTGCATAGTCGGGCTAGGATAGCAATATCGAAAACGACGGGCCAAAGTAGAAAGTTTGTGTATAGTTCGGGCCAAAATAAGGAATTAACCCTTACAAAAATTATACGGTACAAATATAATTTGTATTTATATTTTGACAAAATACACTTCTATAGTTATAATTTTCAAGTTTGTGATAGTTATAACCAAAACTTTCGAAATCCACAATATAATTAGAAATTTGATGGTAGTTTGACAAATCTAGCTATTTATGTAAGAAACTTTAACGATATTAGAAATTCTGTCAGTTAGGTGAACGACATGCTGAATAGGATACCAAATTGATGCACATGTCACCGATAATTCAGCCTCACTTGCCACTCATAATTTACTTTAAAAATATTTAAGGCAAAATACACTTCTATAGCCACAACTTTCACGTTTATGACAGTTATAGCCACAACTTTTGAAATACAGGAAATAGCAGAACTTTTATTGCTGTTTGACAAATCCAATCATTTCCGTGACAAACTTTCAAATACACGAAGCAGTTACAACCATGTTCTCGATTTCTTCTCAAGACTCTACTTGAGAGGGAAGGCAACAAATCAAGCCAATTTACTGCGAGTCTGCGACAAATCGGGCACCGGAAAGAAGAACAACTGCAGTCGCGACGGTTTCGAGGAATTGGAGGGGAATTGCACTACGAGCCGTCACATCCTCCTTCCCAACTCATCGGTCTTTGTCTCCACCGGAGATGTCTCTCCTCTTTCATTGCTGTCACCAATGCCTTCTTCTTCGCAACTGTCGTCGAGCTTCTTTCTAGCTAGATATGGCAATGCACATTTGGCAAAGGTCATGACCCATATGGGTATTAGGTCGGACCCAAATGGACCCATATGCACTTTTATGATTTTGGGTATGAGTAGGGTTTGAATTGGTCCTATTTGAGTCAATTCATTTAGGTTATATTCAAATGGGTCTAGATGATCATATACACAGAAACAATATCAACCATTCATTAACTACTCTGATCCCATTGTACACATTTAATGTAGGTATTTTCATCTTTCAATTATTTTCATAACAAAAATAAGACAAAATTTATATTATAATTGGGTACCCATTTTCTTTAGAACTTCCAATATTATGGGTCCAATTTAGACCCAAACTAAAAATTAGGTATGGGTATTGCCCAAAAAAAAAGTTACTAAAACTTGATTTGACCCATAGTAAGTTGGGTTTGGGCAATACCCAAACTTTGAGACCCAATTGCCATCCCTATTCCGAGCAGCCTTCTTGCCTCTTTCTAGCCGTTGTTCTTCGACTCCACCAAGCTTCCGAGACTTTCTTCTTCAGTATAGTGATTGGGGATCTGAATCGGCGATTTGAAAAATAAAGTCTTCTTCTCTAGTCATACTGTTCAGTGACACCGTTAAATGCATGGACAAATGTGGCTATTTTGTGTATTTCAAAAGCTGTGGCTATAGAAGTGTATTTTGGGGTTGTTTTGTTAATCTACATGGATTGGTGGGGGCGAAACATCGCTAACTCAGCATTTCCCTCATTCATACTATTAAGTAACACCATTAAAGGGATGGACGAAAGTGGTTATTTTGTGTATTTCAAGAGTTTTGGCTATAACTGTCACAAACGTGAAAGTTATGTTTGTGGAAGTGTATTTTGCCTTAGATTTTTCTACAAATTCTTTTATAGCACAAACTAAACATGTATTTTTAAAATTATGTTTATGGTACAACTTTAATTTCTACATATATTTTAGGTTCACGGCTTTCTCATGTCTTGCGTGTTGGTAAATTGAAGTCTTGGGGGTAAGGAACATATTCACTGCTTTCCCAGTTGGCTTTCGCTTTCTGAGATTTTGTTCTTCATCTGTTGGTAATCTTCGAATTGTGATTTTAGTGAGCAAACAAAAGTGAATTATGGATTGGGATTTCTCCTACATGTTGGTAAAAATTCCTTTATGATGCAAATGAACTTGTATATCTTTATATTAGGGTACAAACTGAACTTGTATCATAACATAAATATATAAATTTTTTATGGTATAAACTAAACTTGTACATTTAACGGTTCAATTTATATTTCGAAGCACCAAACAAAATTGTTATTGATCATCATGTCGAGCGCCATTGCCGGAAGGATCCATCAATCATGAAATAGTGCATGATAGATCATCATGTCGTTGCTCGTCACCTTGCCTCCATCTCCACATCTCCTCAAATGAAAAGTAGTGAGCATAAGAGCATCTCCAACAATGCCAATCTCTTGCAATTTCAAGTGTGGTCCCAATTGCCACTTCAACAACTTTAACTATAACTCACTCCTCATTTTCATACCATCTACATCAATGCCATCAAGATGCAATTGTGACCGTGGGTCCTACTTAATTTTCAATGTAATTCAATATTAATTTGTGAGTGTGTTATATTAATTTGAGTTTTGTCATCTTAACGCGTTTAGTGTGTTTTTCTCTCAAGTTGTTTTTTGTCGTTGTGTTATTCGAATTATATATGAACCTTGATATTTGAATTATATATCAACCATGATAGGAATTTTATTTAATGATTATTTAATTACGTACAATATATAAAGTATTATGTAAACTAGAAATTCAATATATAAAGTATTATGATTGAAATTGTATATATGTGTGTGTTGCATGTATGTTGAGAATGAAAAAATAAACACAAACGAAAAAGAAAGATGGAAAGAAAGAAAGAAAAAGAAACCAAAAGGACAAAAGGTGGGCCAGTATGCAATTGCATGAAAACTTTCATCAGGTGCAAATTTGCAACTTTTGCAATTGATCCCACATCAATGCCACTCACCATCCCACTTTCACTCCCTTGCCACATCAGCTTGCAATTCTCAAGAATTGCACCATTGGAGATGGTCTAACCTGGGACAAAGCTCTCCTTGAGGCTTAACTCGAATCTCATCACCTTTCCACTATTCTCCTTCTCTTTGTGTCTGTCGAGAACTGAATCAATGGTTGAAGGATGGCTGGTGGCGGCTCGTTCATCTTGAGCTCCTCATCTGTCTCAATCACCTTTGGTCCCTGATGCATTTTCCCAACCTGGCAATCGACTGTTAATTGGGCAATACAGACTTGGAATGGTTCTAGTGTGCGTATGAAGATAGGCAAGTTAATCTGGAGTACTATGGTTATGAGTCATGTTTGAAAGGAAAGATGTCGCAGGTGTTATGGGAGTGGTCTGCAACTTCCTCCTCAGCTTGTGGCTCGGATCCGATCAGAAGCAAGGTTTTTGATTCATAGTAGAGTTGATACATTTATTGTTTTGCCTAGTTTTTCGTGCCAAGGGTAGATGAGTGAGTGTACACAAAACCAAGCAATGCACGTAAGAACAACAAACATACATCTATCATTTCCAACAAGTGTCAATATGAGCTTCAAGACACTCAAACCAAGCTAAGTACTTTATTTGTTTTCCGTGAAATTCGGTGTTACCTCCACAAGATATTGTTTTGTTTTGAAATGTTTGGTACGCCCAAGTAAAGTTTTTTGGTCAAAATACTTAAAACGCCCGAAATATAGCGCCCCTGATTGAGAATACTCTCCGTGCCCAAATCTAGCGCCCGGAGTATTTGAAAGATCTCTGAGGGAGATGTAAAGCGCCCCGCAATACCTAAAGCGCCTGAAATACTCAAAGCACCCGAAATATAAAAAAATTGTCGAGACAGAATGTTACGTGGCACTCCTAGCCTCAAGTTTACACAATGACTCGAGGCGTATGGCATAATGAGGTGTGCTTTTAAGAGGGACATGAGCCCAACTGTCCAACTTTTCCATGTCATTAATGATTCATATGCGCCTCACCTACTTTCATGTGGGTCAAGCTTGTGAAATAGTTGTTTGGTCTCACCTACTTCCCATATAGAGCTATTTCTGATGGCCTAAAGATCACGTCGCAATCTTCTTCATGGGATCCTGATCTTTTGCTTCAATTTGCCGGTTGTGTTTTTCGACCGTGATCATGCTCCTCTGACTGCAAACTTTAGTATTTGTCTCTTTCCTACACATTAGCGCCAAGTCCTTGTCTTTTTTGCTTGTAGCATCAAATGTGACCTAGAATGACATGATATGACAAAAGGAAGCGTTCTAGTCTACAAATGACATCATATAGATGTAATCCTGCTAAAGAAATTATAGAAACACCTAAAATATGGAGGATAAATAACACCATTTTGGGTGTTATCAACGTCTGCAGAAAAAGGGCTCAACGACGTTGTAGATGTTCATGTTAATACACAGGTAGGCAAGACCAAGGATTTATTGGGAGATGACAAGGCCCTACTATCTTTGCCGTGTTATTATTGTAATATGTGAAATTTGTTGTCGGATTAAATGTGATTAAATATCATAATACCTAACTTTCACTAGCTCATAGGGTTGGGAAGATTAATAAATTGTGCACCTTAAACCTATGTAGTTAATTCATAAATAGTAGTTATATTTATTATATCGTAGTCTCTGTTTATATGGCCTTTGTCTCAGAGATGAGATAGCATGCATACCCCTAAAAGGGTTGAAAAAATGACACCCCTATTAATTATAAGTTTTTAAGGTAATTAATTTGTGTTGCACTTGCATTTAATAATCTGTATGAATTAAAAACACATATTAATTATTTTCCTTTTTTCAGTGCACTGGTAGTTGTATTAGTGCAATAATATTAGTGTACACGTGCAATGGTAGATGTATCAGTGCAATGGTAGTTCCAAAAAAGGAATGTAATTAATATGAGTTTAGTATACAGGTGCAATGGTAGTTATATCAGTGTAATGATAGTTAAAAAAAGGAATGTAATTAAGATGAGTTTTTAATACAAAAAATAACTATAATTAATAGGGGTGTCATTTTTCTAATCCCTTAGAAGGGTTAGCATGCTAACCGATCCCTTTGTCTCACAAATGATCAATGACTTTTTTCTATGTTAAATATTTTCCTTTGAAATGTATATTTTTATGAACAGACCCATTCTGATTTGCACCCAAAATCAAAATATTCGACTTGGTACGATTTTGAAAAATTGAAAATTGCTGGACAAGACAACAAATACATAACATAATAGATAATATAAGCATATAAGAGAGAGATTGAAAATTGTGAAACAAGACCACAAACACACAATATAATAAATCCTGTAATAAGATATAAATAAATAAAAATTACTGAACGACGTCAAGAGCTAGTTCTCTTCAGTAGTCGAAAATCAATCATAAAATTAGGGTTGGAAAAATAGACAAGACCGTATGAAAAATCATGGTCCAAACTAGACCGTACAGTTTAGTTCGGACCGTAGATCGTTAAGTATGATCTGGTCCATGATATGTACTATATGGTGTTTTGATCTCTTGATCTGGACCGCGGGTTATCGGACCAAACCGTGGACCTAGCCGACTTCTCAATACGTGTTAGCAGCCCACTCGACCACTTTCCAAACTTCCACAACGATACCCAAGTCTCAATCTTAATTTTGAGAATCTCGTCACCTCCTTCATTCACAACCACATTGCACTAGAGAGTAAAGACGATTGTGTCTCCATATGACATTATGTTAATGTTTACGACGTTATAGTGGAAGTCGGGATGTTTTGACTTTGTAACTTTGTTATTTACTGAGATTTATGGTGTCAAAATTATCCATGCACGTTGAAATTTATGGTTTAGGTAAAAAAAACAATTTTTTTTCTTGGCTATTTGTTTAATTTTTTGTGTGGTTGACTAATCAAATTGTTCATTTTTGGTTCGGAATGTTCTATCTAGACCAGACCATACCAGACCAAACCGCACAGACATGATCTAGTCTATATCATATAGTCTATAATCTGGTATGTAGTCTATAATCTAGTCTCTCAGTCTAAACCGTAGACCGTATATATAGTTTGGATCAGACCGCACCGTTCCAGATGTAGTAGATGACGAAAATCAATTATAATTTTCTTACTTTCAAGTTTCAACCGGTTGTGCCCGGATCGGAGGATACCTAGTGAGACCGTGAAAAAGGTTTTCTCTTTCTCCGTCATTTTGTCACTCATTCTAATTGAACTCTTTGAAGCAGAGCGACTACTCCGTGGAGGGAGAAATTATCAATGATGGAGGTTGAATTGGAGCCAAGAGTGAAACCCCTGAGCTATAAGGTGAAGGCGACCTCCAGAGAGTCGCCGTCGCAGAAAGCTTCTCATGTCCTCGACACAGACCTCCGCTCCCACTGGTCCACCGGCACCAACACCAAAGAATGGATTCTACTGGAACTCGACGTATGTCCTTTCTCTCTTTCTCCCAGGCTTCTGCCCAATCTTCCCTAGGGTTTGGCTTGTCACGCTGACTGCTTCTCTGGTTCTGGTTCAAGTGGCTCAACGTTTGCTCTCCCCCTCCTAAACTTGCTGCTTTTGCTAGTTTTCTTGTGCTTGAAATTTTTTTAGGGGTTATCTGAGTTTGGATGTCTATGCATGAATGAAGTGGACTAGCTGTGTAGTCGCAATTCGTTGTTGTGGGGAGGTTATTACACATGCTTTATGCAGTGGTGGTTATGTGCATTACTTTAGTACAGTATATGCCGGCAACAAAGTGTAGCAATTATGTGGGAAGATTTTCGGTTGACATGTAATTTCTATGCTCGACCTTTAGAGAGCTGGCAATTGGTGTTGAAATGTTTTTTTTTTTTTTTTTTCTGCCTTCCGAGATTGATATTGTTGCTTGCAGGAACCTTGCTTGCTGTCCCACATAAGAATATACAACAAGTCAGTACTTGAATGGGAAATTGCAGTTGGCTTGCGATATAAGGTCAGCTTTTTCAAAAGGTTTATTTTCTCTTAGTAACACGTCTTGCTGGAAATTATGGTTGAATCAAAGTTGTATAATTTCCACTTTGTTGGTGTTGATGCAATTAAGTTGACGCTCTACTTTCTGCTTCTGACTAACCATCGTAATTGCCATCGTGAAAATGCTATCCTTTGCCTGTTATTTCATATTGCTGATATGAAAAATATGGAGGTAGTCCCACTTGACTTACCAAACCAGAATTAGGCTGCGTTATCATAAAATTTCTTTGGGCACGTTTATCTTCTTTTTCTTGAGTAACATTTTGGTAGACAACTGTTGAGGTCGCGTCATTTTCTTGTGTCTGTCTGAATTCATTCTGTAACGACATCATCTCTTACCATTTTCCTTTACTGCATACCCAGCCAGATACTTTTGTGAAAGCTCGCCCACGATGTGAAGCACCTCGTCGAGACATGGTATACCCTATGAATTACACTCCATGCCGCTATGTGCGAATATCCTGCTTGCGAGGAAACCCTATAGCTATCTTTTTTATCCAGGTATGATATCATTGGGAGGGTGCTTTGGAGTTGGGACAGTCTCTACTGTTTTTTCTAAATTTAATTTTCTTCAGTTTAGTAATTGTAAGCTATGTAGTTAGCTGGAGTCGTTTTCTCGTTTGCATGGAGTATTATCAGCTCCAAATATCAAAGTGTAGGCTGCTGCTTCCATTTTACAACATACTTAAATTCATCATAATTTTTTGTTATCGAATAAGTGAGATAAGTCATTGGTAGTCCCTTTTCGCTTATTACCCTCTTTTCTGAGTTCAATTTTCTCCCAGATAATTGTTATTGTACTATTAAGCTCTATCTTAGCCAACTTGGCCAAGATTCTTCGACACCAACACTACAAGTCTGCAGATTACAATCATCACAGAGTTATAGTCAGTACTATCAGCTATCATACTGCATGGTTTTGTCAGGCTCCTAATTCTTATCTTGCACAAAGTCAACTAATTCAAACTCACTCAAATGCTGGATCCTTATGTCTATTTCCTTGGCTCTAAACTTGTTACTGCTTTTCACGTCTTGTAGCTCATTGGGGTTTCAGTTGCCGGCCTGGAACCAGAGTTTCAACCAGTTGTTAATCACTTACTGCCAAATATTGTTGCACACAAACAAGATGCACATGACATGCATCTTCAGGTTACCTTCCTTACTCACATTTTAATCTGTAAGCTCCTTTTAAGTTTCATCTTCTGATTTCTATCTCATTTTGTAGTTTCTTAAAGACATGACAAACCGTTTGGCTCTGTTCCTTCCCCAACTTGAGGTAAAGCAGTTGAGTAAAAGTTTGATTTATTATTGCCTTCCCTTGCAGCATTTACTTCTGTCTTTTTTCCTGGTAATTCATACTATCATGAGTACATTTGTGGCAAGCGTATTGTTTTTCTTTCTTATGCAGACGGATTTAAATAGTTTCGCAGAGGGCCCTGAACAGAATTTACATTTCCTTGCGATGCTTGTTGGTCCCTTCTACCCGATCCTTCAGGTGTTGAATGAAAGGTCGGTTGCTTAACGTTGTCAGTGCATAACATTTAGCTAGGTCTTATGACGTTCTTAATACTTTTATGCTCGAGATCTTCAAATAGAGAAATTTATGTTTCTAGAAGTACAGGTAAATCAGTCACAATGTTTCCATATTTCCATATCTCAGTATCCTGTAGAAATGCCCCATTGTACTTGTAGTACTTGTCAAATCTCCAGCTGAGCTATTTTGGTCTATAGTTACCTCCTAATTGTCAAATGTAATTTACTTATTAATGTTTTAGCTAAACTTAGTGATCTGACAGAGAAGCTGCAAGGTCTTTGGGGAATGTGTCGGAATCTGAAGTCATTAAGCAGACTCAGCCTTCATCTTTATTGACGGTTTCCTCTAACTTTGAGGTACTGTATCCCTGAATTTGTGTACTTGCTAGTTGTGTTTCTTTACCTGTACTGGACTTGTGCTAGAATAGTTGATAACCCTTCTATGGGTTGTTTTATCTTACATCAATGAGCTTAGGCTCTAAGGCTAAACAACTAGAGTATCAAAAGCTAGGAAAGGAGAGAAAGGCAAGGCCAACAAGTTCATCAGTGGAATTTTTTCTTTCTAGAAAGGGAATAAGGCTGGAGGAACTAGCAGGAACATTTAGATGTACCCTAGATCAGGAAGCATGGGGCCGAGCCATATCCCTGTTTCTGCACCATGTTTACCTAAGTCGATTTTCTTGGAAAATAAAGAATCCAAATTCCATGCTATATTTTCCCAATGGAATGGGAGTCAGATTGTATTTGTATGGATTGATTCCCTCATCTGCAGTATGTCTTTTTCTTGGTTGTTTTTATTTCCGGGTTCCAATGTTTTACGTTGGTGCATAAGTTGGTGACATAAACTTGCATTCAGTTGTCTTTTATCAAGTTCTTTTCTTTGTTTTTCACTTTGTTTTTTCTATTTGTTGTGTCTAAGTGACCCTACTTTGCAACTGCAGCCTAGAAGATCCCGAAGCACATCTCCCTTCATATCTGCTAGTTCTATAGTCTTCCGTCCTGATATAGTTTTTGTATTGCTGAGGAAAGCATACAAGGAAGCTGAGCTGGGAAATGTTTGCAGAATGGTAGTTCATCCATCGCTCATTGGAGATTGTTAATATTGATAACTTGTGGCTAATACACGGAGTTGATAGCTGACATGATAAATTTCAGGCTTCTAGGGTTCTGCATAAACTTGCTGAGCCTGCGGCAGTTAACGAAGCGGCATTATCTAGGAGTGAAGTGAAATCTGCATTACCTTTAGATGTCACTTCGAAGTCTGAATCCTCTAATCCTGCTACCCTGGTTGATTACTCAAATTTGTTTGGAGAAGGGTTTCACATACCAGATGATCGGTGGGACTCCAATATTCTTAATCTCTTGGATATAGGCGTGGTAGAGGAAGGGATTTTCCATATCCTGTTTGCTTGTGCGTCACAGGTTTGATTGCAGCATTAAGGATACAACACTTATTTGCATTGCTGGTTCTGATCTTTGTTGTGAATACTTACTATAGTGCCTTCTATGTTTTGCAGCCTTCCTTTTGTCATAAATTGTCGGAGAACACATCTGACTTTTGGTCTGCTTTGCCACTAATACAAGCATTACTTCCAGGTTAAGCATCTGTTGATGATATTTAAATTTTTACACTTTTCCATTCTTAAAAAGGTTGCCCAAGAATTTCTTCTTGAGCTTTCTTTGTTGGGTGAACATTAGAGTGGATGCAGTGCATACTGAAGCAAATATGTCAACTTATGCTCTATTTGGCCAGTGGTGACTTCTTTAAATGAAGTTTTTTGCTTTTTGGTTATAGGCAGTAGAAAAGATTTATGACAAACACACACTAGGAATAATAAGCTCTTGATTATTCTTTTCTTCTCAAACTATTAGCAATATATTTGACATACACGCATGTGATCTTGAAATTGCCAAGTTTGGTTTTATGTAGAGCTTATTATTACCATATTTGATCAAATAAACTATTGGTCGTTCAACTTTTGTGGAACTTTCAAACTGCTTATTAGAATTCTGAAAAGTTTGTGTTTTTCTAACCCAAAATTGCAGGGAACTGCTTACTATGATCCCTAACTGAAGGCTTGCTATTTGTTTCGTAAATATTTTGCTAAGTTTTCTCTCAACTTTTGTAGCATTACGTCCCGCCATAAACAACCCGGGCGACCATCTTGATGAGAGCTTTTCTCAGTGGAAACAACCTTTTGTTCTATGTGCCCTGTCTGAGGTAAACTTTTGATTCCCTTTTTTAAGTAGGTTTTCTATTGTTACAGCTTGAATTTTATTCTGCTAATGTATATATTCTATTATTGCAGATTGTTGCTATGTCTTCTTCAGCTTTATATCGGCCACTTCTTCATGCATGTGCTGGCTATTTATCTTCATTTTCACCATCACATGTGCGTTTCTCTTTACTTGTTTTTTCATATAATTGAATATGTGCGTTCGCCATGGTTGTTTTCCAAGAATCTCAAGATCATCGATACTTGGATTGGTACCTAATTTATTATCTTGAAAATCTATTACATAAAAGAGAAGCACTCAATAGTAACTGAGGCTAAAAGGTGGAAGAAGAGAGGTGAACAGAACATTTAAACTTAAGCGACACCAATATTTGCTTTAGAAATATCATGGACAACACGTGGGGGTCATGATGTCACTGATTGAGCATCATTTATTGCAAATATGGTGACTACGAACTTCTAAAGCTGTGACTGTAAATAACACTGGTTTCTTGGCTCAACTAGTGACTATGCGGACTTCTATTACCAAGAAGGAAAGATGTAAAAGATTGGGAAAATCTCATGGAGGGAGTTCTCTTGAATGTTGAGAATAGTTTAAACTATTTTTTTATACCATAAAAATTGAATAATTTGAACAATTTCAAATTCTTGGCGCATTATGGTATAACTCAATTCAACAGGTGATATAGCTCATAGCTCCTAATAGCTGATTTTCGTCCCCATCTTCCTAAAGGCTCATTTTGAGCTTATTTTCCCATGAATCACGTTCTTTTTACAGGCAAAAGCTGCCTGTGTTCTGATTGATCTCTGCTCTACTGTGCTAGCCCCTTGGACGGCTAAGGTCATTGCAAAGGTTGGTTTACCCTGATGGTTGCCTTCTCATCAGAATTGTACCTTCATTTTATTTCTGTGACATTGTTATTTGCTGATTCATATGCAGGTTGATCTCGCCATGGACCTTCTAGAGGGCCTCTTGGGCACCATTCAGGTGTGTCTCATCATTAAATATGTTGTTCCTGATCAATCAATGTATGGCCAAATTAGTCGTTGAGTCATATCTCTTGTTTTTATCCCTTTCTTCCTGCTCGTGTCTGTTGTTTCTCTCTTTTTTCTTTCTCGCAGTCCTTTGTGTCATTATGTTTATTGCCATGTACATTGCTATGAACTATTCTTTATACGTGTCCTTTTCATTTCTTTGCTGCCATGGAAAAACTTCTAAACTTTCTATGAGTTTTCATATCCAATATAATATTCTTTTTTTGTGGTTTTTGTTTTTGATAATTTAAATGTTCCTTTTAGTCACAAGTCTATTTTTTCTTATACGTTTCAGGGGGCTGCACTTTGTATCGTACGCGCTCGTGCTGCCCTCAAGTATATTGTGCTGGGCTTGTCAGGGCACATGGATGATATAATGGGGAAGTACAAGGTAGTTTTGCATTGTGGTCACTGTTTTTCTTTATTCAGATTGCTATAGTTTGTTATTGTTGGGTTGATAGTGCTTTAGTCGCTGGGAGCTCTCTCCCTCTATCTTACTTACAGTAGGGCTTTCTAAGAATATTTTGCAACAATCCCTTTTCTTCGACGATATTCTGTCTTTTTCAACAGTTGGGTTTTTCTGTAACCATTATGATGAATACTGAAGAAGCCAGGGTGAAAGACAAAAAATGCCCACATTATCTTCTCTAATATTTCAGGATGTCAAGCATCAAATCTTATTTTTGTTGGAGATGCTAGAGCCTTTTTTGGATCCTGCTATCTGTGCATTGAAGAGCACCATAGCATTTGGAGATGTTTCTGTCACGTTTCCGCAAAATCAGGAAGAAAACTGTACAATTGCCCTTAATGTCCTTCGTACAGCGGTGCTGAAGCCAGCTGTTCTCCCTTATTTAGAATCTGAATGGCGGCATGGAGCTGTTGCTCCCAGGTACCACATACTTGTTTCTGGATCATCTTTAACATTAATAATTCATATCCTTCTGGTCAAGCTCAAGTACGGGAACTAAGATGTCAACATGTATCTACAGTTATTGATTTGTATATTGTCTCTTCAACATCAATCAACAGCTCTGGAAACCAACTTTGCAGCCTTGAAAATTTGTGTACTCGCTGCTTAGTCGACATAGCATCATCATGGCGCTTTCTGACAATCCACAAACTCTTTGCAGTGTTCTTCTCTCGATACTGGAACCTCACATGTGCTTGCCTCCTGAAATTGACCTTCGTAAGTCTCCAGCTTCTAAAATCCATGAGCGTGAAACCGTTTCTGATGCCTTGCATTCTTCTGTTCCCTACCAAGGAGGATGTCCCTCTAATTTCAATGACCAAGATGAGGCTGGTGGGAAATCAGATGCTTCTGATGTTGGAGGAAAGATAGATGCATTAGAAGATGTTAATCTTCTTTTTGCACCTGGAGAATTACAGACCATATCGTTGACAAATGCTTCTGGAAATCCTCATGACCCTATCTTGGATGCCAGGCATAAAGATGCCAGCTTAGAACTCAAACGTGTAATTGAGGAAAATTTCACTGGTGTCTTTCCAAATGGGTTAATATTGGATGCTGGTTCGAATTGGGAATACTTTAACTTGCAAGCTGACTACTTTCAACTAGTAAACTGCCATGACTGCGAACTCAGGGCTTCTGAATTTCGACATTTGGCCTTGGATTTACATGAACGGAATGAGATAGCTGATGAAGCTCATGATGTAGCAATTGATGCTTTGCTCTTGGCTGGAGAGTGTCATGTGAACCCTTTTTTTATGACGTCTTTCAGATCCGATCCAAAATTGGATTCATATATGGCTAAAGTTTCTGAAGCTCAAAAGACTGGAAATTCTTCCAAAGGCAGAGAAGTTGACGTGGAAAGAATAGCAGTTCTTGAAAAGAAAAGAGATATGACTGTTCTGGAACTGGTCCTGGAGGCTGCCCAACTGGACTGGAAGTTTCAGAGAAGAAAAACATGTGGGGAGCAGTCTCCTCGTTACGATGAAGGAATTGGTGTGCAAGTCATAGATGTGCCTTCCTTTGAAATACAATCAGCTGATGCAATTACCTTGGTTCGACAAAATCAAGCTTTACTGTGCAGTTTTCTTATTCAGAGGTTGAAGAAAGATCAACAATCTACTAGTGAAATTCTTATGCACTCTCTTGTGTTCCTGTTGCACTCTGCTACTGAACTATACTGTGATCCTGGAGATGTCATCGATATAATATTAAAACGTGCAGAATATCTCAGTGGGATGCTTGCATCATTTTACTATCGCCTAAAAGAAGATAATTTTCAATTAGATCCGGAACAGATCCATGGGTTACGACGACACTGGATACTGCTTAAAAGATTAGTTATTGCTTCAAGTGGTGATGAAGGGTCAGACTTTGCTTTCAATCTCAACAGCAAGTTTCAGTGTGGATATCTCATTCCACCATCAGCCTGGATTGAGAGAATATCAGCATTTTCTTGCAATGTATGCCCTCTTGTTCGATTTCTTGGTTGGATGGCAGTATCTCGTAATGCCAAATGGTACACCAAGCACCGCCTTTTCCTTGCAACAGATCTGCCTCAGCTAACAGATTTATTATATATATTCTCGGATGAGCTTGCAATAGTTGATTGCGTTGCGAACCAGGGAGATAAAGGTACACGAACTAATCAGCATGGGGCCTTTGTTCATACTGTTAATAATGGCGGTTTCGCACTAGATGGCGATCAACATACAGATCGATCTTTTTATTTAATCTACCCCGACCTTTGCAAGTTCTTCCCAAATCTGAGGAAGCAATTCAAAGGTTTCGCGGAGGACATTTTGGAAGCTGTTGGATTGCAGTTAAGATCACTTTCTTCAAGTGTCGTGCCTGACATTTTGTGCTGGTTTTCAGATCTGTGTACATGGCCATTTTTTTCACAGAAACAAAATAGTTATTATCAGCACAATCAGCTATATGTGAAAGGTTATGTAGCAAAGAATGCCAAAGCAATCATCCTTTACATACTTGAATCCATTGTGAAGGAGCACATGGAAGCCATGGTGCCAGAGGTGCCAAAAGCTGTTCAAGTGCTGGTGTCTATTTGTCGGTCTTCATATTATGATGTATCATTTCTTGATTCTGTGTTGCAACTGCTGAAGCCGATCATATCATATTCACTACGTAAGGCATCTGAGCAAGAGAGGGCGTTCATTGATGATTCTTGTATTAATTTTGAGCTGCTGTGCTTTGGGGATCTCCTTGCCGATCTGAGGAGGAACGGAACTGAAGATGTTTCTACTGGAAAAGGGAGGTCTAGAGCATTGAATATTTTTGCCTTGGCTTCTGTCTTTGGTGATTTATCCGTCGAGTGCCGAAGAAACATTTTGCAGTCGTTGGTTTTCTGGGTCTGCTTTACTAGCTTTGAGTCTACCACTTCTTTCCATGATTACTTGTGTGCATTACAAGCTTTTCTTGTGAGCTGCAAAAATCTATTAGTTCAGACTTTAAGATTCCTAGGTTTCGTGCCTGTTCAGTTGCAGCATTGCCCCAAAGTCATGGAGGAATTGAGTTCAAGCAATCACACAGGGAGGCATACTCAGTTTCTTAATGATGTTTGCTTTATCTGTCGTCCAGTAAAGGGTTCAGAGGTGGAAACTAATAATTTGAATGAGATGGTGTTAAAGGAAGAGCAGCATCATTTATCTCCAGAGGATATTGAAGGCTTTTGCAGTGACTTGGAGAATCTGATCGTGAAGCTGCATCCAAACATTGAGCCATGTTGGAATCTCCATCAACGTCTAGCAAAACAGCTGACTGTTGTTTCATCTGAATGTTTTGTGTACTTGCACTGCTTGTCTTCAGTTGTGCCACAACTGAAAGGTGCTAACGGTGGTATTGAAATTCATTTACCAGTCAACTCTGTGGATGACTTTCCAGAACATTGGACGACCAGTTTGGAAAAATTTGCTGCAAGTATTTTGGAGCTTCAAGAAAATCACTGCTGGGAAGTCGCATCACTGATGCTTGATTGTCTACTTGAAGTGCCATATTGTCTCCAGCTGGATAATATTGTCAGTACTATCTGCTCTGCAATACTCAAGTTTTCAAGTGGGGCACCAAAACTTACTTGGCGCATGCAGTCTGATAAGTGGTTGTCAATGCTATTTGCAAGAAATGTGCTCTCTATTCAAGAAAAAGATGAGTCTCTTGCTGAACTTTTTGTTTCATTGCTGGGTAATCCTGAGCCCGAGCAAAGGTTTGTGGCTCTTCGACATTTGGGTAGATTGCTTGGCCTGGATTTATCTGGAGAAGCTGTTTTTGAGGATGCTACACTTAAGGCCAGCTTAGGGTCAGCTCTGGCAGTTTCTGAGTCGTTTCTGTCATTTCTAGTCTCAAGGACATGGGATCGGGTAGTATTGTTGGCATCGACTGACAAATTATTACCGTTGAGAACATGTTCTATGGCACTTCTTTTAGGATATGTACCACATGCTGACAAGGAGCAGTTACAGTCTTTTCTAGTTGGATCTGATAGCATTCTGCATGTAATAGGAAAATCTGCCTTCCCTACACGCGAAGGCCAATTACTGCGGCTCTCATTAGCACTTCTTGCAAGTGTTTGCCTCCACTCCCCTGCTGAAGATGTTTCTTTGATACCAGAAAATGTTTGGAGAAATGTTGAAACTGTCGAATCGTCTAGAACCGGTAAGTTCACTTGATCCTGATAGATGGAACACTAATGGTTAAGGACTTTTCTTTCTTTAATTTCTGCCTCCTGCTCCTGACGTTCTAGCCTGCTACTTAGGTGAACTGGAGAAAAATGTTTGCAGAGCATTATGTAGGGTGAGAGAGGACGGGGATGAAGCAAAAGAGGTATATGCCCGTAACCCAGCCACTACTGCTAACATTCATGTATACAAGATAACATATAAACTGGTGCGTTTTAAGTATTGTATTTGTAGGAGTTAATAATGGCTTCTTTTGTTTTACTCTTTCTTTTTTAGGTGCTGAGAAGGATGCTCTCTGAAAATTCTTCACAACAACTTGCATCAGATTTTGGAGGCATACGTGAATCAATCCTCCAGGTAGTCGCAATAAGTCTAGTAGGATATAAAACTTGGCATCAACAAAGCTTTGATGTTGTATTAAAAAAAAAAAGCTTTGATGTTAAAGTTTCCGTGGTAGAACAAATTTTTTTGTTCCATGTGGATCAAATATGTCAATCCTCATTACTTTCGGTTTTTTCCAACTTTCTTCATGATGGTTAATCGTTTTTTCTTATCTCCATTAAATTGTAGACTGTTTATTTAACTTCTATGAATATTTTGCGGTGCATACTTATCTTTGTAGCGATATTGATCGAATTGTAAATTATTTCAGGTTTTCGCCAATCTGTCTTCTGTTCAGTCTTATTTTGATGTGTTCTCTGATAGAATTGACCAGGAGAAGATGGTAAGAGTGATGACTTCATTCTCCTCTCCTTCATTCTCTCCACTTTCACTGTTCATAATCCCATTTTTAAACACATAGGAACTGGAGGAGGCTGAAGTCGAACTAGACATTATTGAAAAAGGATTGGCAGCGGGAGAATCTTTAGATGGTCGGAAAGAAGAGAGGAATACTCCTTTAATTGTTGGTAATGATTGACAACTACCAAATATTTGTTTTCTTGTAAACAATTAAACATTGGTTCATCCATGGATACTGTATCATTGATACTGATTTACTTTATTGTCCAGCCTCTGCAGAAGGCAAAAGCCGTCTGCAGCAAATCAAGAATCATATCCGTTCATTGTAAGTGCCATCTTTTCACGTGACCCTTAGAATTGATATCACAATTTCGGTTAAGGTCTCCTCACTACAGTAATGTTATTTAAGCAACATGTGAATTTAGAACTGCAGCCTATTATATTTCCGTTTTTCAGTATGCTGTCTTTTGTCCTCTCAATATGTACTTTTATCATAGACTGTTAATCCCCATACATGCTCCCCGTTTTCCCCTCTTTCCCCCCTTCAGCGATAGGTCCAAGCTCCAAGAAGATGTAATAGCACATAGGCAAAGGAAACTAATTATGAGACAAGCCCGGCAAAAATATAAAGAAGCAGCAGCTCTGCGGGAAGAGGAACTTCTTCGGGAGCTTGATAGGTTTTTACATTTCCTTCTTCAAGTTTTCAAGAGGGTAAATGAGGAATATTTGTCTTCTAAATATTCTGATAAAACCTTCATTGCATGACAGTCAGAGAACTAGTGAAACAGAAAAGGAGATTGAGAGACAGAGGTTGCTTGAGGTTGAGCGTGCAAAAACTAGGGAGCTCCGCCATAATCTTGAAATTGAGAAGGAGCGGCAAGCACAGGTACTGCTTCGTGCCTCTTGAATTTGTCATTTGGTTCACATGGTATCATTGGGTCTTTTTTTGGTGAAATGATAAAAGACTAAAGGTCCCTATCCGCGCAAACTCTCTACCCAAGAATAAACCCCGGAAGTAACAAGGTCTGATGGTGTTTAACTTGGTTATTTCTTCCTTTGGTGTGAGATGTTGCCAAGTTTTGGGTGCTTTCTTTTACACTCGTTGGATGCAGCATAACGGTTTTGGATTGGGTGTCACCTTGGACAGGCATCTTCCAACTTAAGCAGTAGATGGTCTTTTACTTGGTTTGTTTTGTTGTCTGTTAAGTAACATAGAAGGACTTTTTGCTTCTTCAACTTGGTTGCTTTTGTTGGTTTCCTAACTTTTGTATTCATCTGAAGGCTACATGTTCCATTATTCTGCTAAAAACTTACCAATAGTTATTTCCACGTTGTCATCACGTGTTTCCTTGGTCAAATATCCTTTTGCATGCGTCTCATGATAGTCACAATTCTTGTAGAGAGAACTTCAGCGAGAGTTAGAGCAGGCTGAGTCTGGTTTGCGATCGTCACGGCGCGACTTCCCTTCAGCGGCACATACCAGGTACAAATCGTGAACCGTTCAACATAGATGTGAGATTATGTGTGCTTGCGTGCTCGACCTGTGTTTTTAGTATCGCTGCCATGAGTTACAAGATAGATAGACTCTGGCCTCGCAGGCTCTGTTAAGTTTTAACTGAGCTGAAACCCGCTAAAGGGGCCCAAAACCATGATTGAACTGTCAAGCAAATGGTTAGACGCAAATGCTAATCTAATGGTCAATTGGGAAAACCGAACCAAGCTTACTAACCGGTATGGACTGGGTTTTATATGCTTGTGGATTAATTTGCTGAAATGTAATTCTTCCATTGCTGGTTATCTTGCATTTTACGGTTATATTATTGGCTTGTCACCCGAAATATGGCTTATTCGTCAAGGGTTTGCTAAAGGTCTTCTTTCCTGCAGCCGGTCTCGGGATAGATATCGAGATAGGGAAAATGGAAGGCAAGGCAACGACGGGGGCAGCAGAACCAGCACAGCTGAAAATGCCAGTACTAGTTCTTCAATGGGCGTTCCTCCAGCCATGGTCTTCTCTGGCGGACCTCGTTCATTTTCAGGGCAGCCACCGACGATCCTTCAGTCCAGGGACCGTCAAGATGACTGCGGGAGCGGTTATGAAGAGAACTTTGAAGGCAGCAGGGACTCAGGTGACACTAACAGTGTTGGGGATCCCGAACTGATGTCTGCATTTGATGGCCAGTCGGGTGGTGGCTTTGGGTCGGGCCAACGGCAAGGGTCTCGAGGGAGCAAGTCGAAACAATCAATGGAGCGAAGAGAAAGGGAGGGAAGGCGCGAGGGCAAGTGGGAGAGAAAACATTAGAATGTGTAACAGGTGCTGTAAGCTGTTTATGGTTAACAAAGGCAACTGTTTTTGTGGCGTCTATTCCCTTTCTGGGCCGACAAATAGCTCTGTTGTATTGTTCTCTAGTGTGTCAATATCGATGTTGTAGGGATTGGTTGAATAACGCAAGTGGAACAAAAACAAGGCTTTTACCTTATATTTATCAGCTTAGCTGAATACTATGGATGCATATGAAAAACACTTGGCAGCTGAGGTATCACATTCACCAGTCGAACCATCTCGCACTAAATTCTCCAAGTGTGGTCCACTTAGTTTTTTCGTTCTTCTCTGTTACTGAGAACAGACCCAACTGAATTGGTGAGATCGAATTGTTCACTACTGAATTGTAATGCATGCACAGCTGATATGCTGGAACACGTTACATGAACGTATTTACGCGCTTATTACAACCAGACCAAATCTCTTCAACTCCTTTGGCGGTGATACTCTTTTGACATTTAATGGCTAAACATCGCCCTAATTTTACTATTATCGTCCTAACTTAAAATATAAAATTACTAAATTAACCTTAATAATACAAAAAAAAACTTAAAAAGCCCTACACGCACAGTAGGGAGGCGGCACGGAGGCTTTCATCTCTTCCAACGAGGGCGGCGGCGTGGAGGCTTTCATCGACGTCCCTCCATGCTGACCACCTATTCTGCCGTCATCGAACTCCTCCCTAGGCACCGATCCCTAGGGCTGAAAATGGGTCCGACCCACCCCTGACCTTGTCTAGGGATGGCAATGGGTCGGGTTGGGGCGGGTTTTGTCAAATCCAAACCCAAACCCATGGGTTTATCCGTAAAAAAAAACCCGGGGTAAAACCCGCTGGGTATCCGCGGGTTCATGGGTACCCATGGGTTTTTGTGGTAAAAAATTTACAATAATAAGTTTCTTTCAAAATAAAAGTTTAACATCAATCTTCTCATACAAATTATTCATACAAAAAACACCAATCTAGAGCATACAAGCAAATCGCAAATGATCAATACAAATTGTTCAAAATTAAAGATAACATTTATAAACAATAAGATTAATTGAAAGCTTCTTCCTCGTCAACTAAGTTTCTTCACTCTCCACGTCATAATATCAACTTCATTCTAAACAATTAGAAAAGAACAAATTATACATGTCTCCACAAACATAAAGAATATTAGTTGTTTAAGGAAGATATATTATTTAGAATATTAAATATACTGGGAAAGTAACTATATGTGTGTGGGCGGGTACCCATGGGGCGGATTTACCTAAACCCAACCCGACCCGGTGAATATTGTAACGGGTTGAAACCCAAACTCGGCCCAAAACACGTCAACATAGGTTTTACCCGCGTTGACCGGGTTGGGTCGAGTGGGTACTCGTGGGTTCGGGTTTTGTTGCCATCCCTAACCTTGTCTTGACCCTGTTTGACCCGCCCCTGAAGGGTCAAGATGTATAACTGACCCGCCCCGCTCCTGTTTCTTTCATGACCCTGTCTGACCCTTTAGGGTCGGGGCGGGTCAGGAAGGGTCTGTCAGTGGGTCGACCCTAATAAATACACTACTTTTCTAAAAATTACAATTTGGTTCCCAATTTAATTTTTTTCTTACATTTTAGTACCTAAAATTTATTTTTTACAAATAAGTCCCAAAAATTTGATGGTAAAATTGCGTTTTGGCATCCATTTTTTTACAATTTAGTACCTAAACTTTGAAAACTTTACAAATAGGTCCAACATGTTGTATGATGCTAAGGGTCATAGGGTCAAAAAGTGACCCAACCGTAAATTGACCCGACCCTACCTAACCGTGACCCGATCTTATGTTGACGCAACCCTAAGTTGACCCTGTAGACAAACTGACCCAGCCCAACCCTCAGGGTCGGGGCGGGTCGGTGGATTTTAAGGGTCAAGCTAACTACTATAACCCCTAATTTTACTATTATCGCCCTAACTTAAAATATACAATTACTAAATTAACCTTAATAATACAAAAAAATATAATTTTAATATAGAGCGATCATAGTAGTTTGGGCGACAATTAGCAATCCCCTTAAAATAAACTCATCCTTTTTATGGCTTCAAGAATCAAGACCCTCATCAAAAGATGTTGACAACGTCAGTCCCATTCGTATGTAGCACTAGTAGACACAGCTCGATGGACGGAGAGTTCTATTTTGGGCTGCATAGTCAAGCAAACAAGCAATTGACTTAGTACTAATATTACTAGTCTAGAATCTAAAAGTCATCGATTTAAATTTTTACGGTAGCACCTAATTATAAAAATCAACCTATGAGACCCTTATAAAAACAAAAAATATGTCAAGACTCAATAGATCAACTTCTCACCCTTACAAAACAAAATAGATTAACTTCTAACTAAAACTTATTTGTATCTCATGACAACGCGAATACCATTTGGCTCCGCCACATTAAACTAGAATTATTTAAAGATAACATAGGCCTTCCGATGCTTATGCAAGAGATTGATCTCATCGACTTGAGGTGACACATAAGTATACAACAAATGCACTAAAGCTCATTTCTTATTATTTAATATTCATAAAATTAATTTAGTATACTATAATAAAATCCCCAATGAAATAATTTATATTTCAAAGGAAAGACAAATTAGCCTCTGCTAGTTAATAATAACCCGGTCGAGAAACACTGCAGCGACAATATTATTTGCAATATCCTAGCCTGGCTAGGCATTACTTTTACCAAATACCCTTAGTAAATGGTTAACCATAAACAAAATAAAAAATATCTGGAAAAATTGTGTAAAACTTTTCTTAAATATTCTCAACAAATGCTTTAAAATTCAATTACAATTCCTTGAAACTTGCTTACGGGGAAATCATAAACATACTTAATAAATGCATATCAAGTCTCGTTCCTACTAAGTACATACGAATTTCAATGCTTCGTACTAGAGTCTGTTAGAGCCTTGAACTTTGTTTTGACTTGGTCGTCTCCCTTATGTGCTTCCGGTGACCCTACAATTTCTAATTGTCGGCGTAGGGTCAGTCCTAAGTTAGGATGTCAAAACATGATAAAGATGGACCTCCATCACTATGGGAGGTGAGGTAACTTCATGCCAGCCAGGCGACCAACCGGCATAGTTAGTAAATACTCCGTTTAATACAAGTATATGTACCCGTACGTACTTTATTCGTTTAAAACTTCCGTATCCGTATTATTGTCAAGCCATTTCATTTTTCGCCGTTCATTTGATGGCTCCCGTACTAAACACGTATAAAACCCGTATAACACGTTTATTATCCGTATTTTACGAATTAAATTGTTAACTTTATTATTATTTATATATTTATTTATTTTTAAAATGATTAATTTTATATATTTATGACTATTAACGTACTATTAAACGTAACTTTAGTTTAAAGACGAAGTATAATACCCGTACGTATTTTTTAAATAACTTTCCCGTTCCGTATTTTACTAACTATGCCAACCGGTACCTAATTCATGAACTTGAACATAAACTCCTTATATGAAAGAGTGAGGTAACATAACATGATGCTTCCTCACTCCGGGAAGTGAGGTGGCCGCTTGCGTAACTAGTTAAGTGAGGTTAAAAACATGATCTTGCTTAACATACCGTGACTTGTTCTTGCTTGACATGATGAGGATCATCCGCACAGTGGGAGATCCAAGCTCATAAAATGCTTAACTTATAAGTATTCATGAACAATGATCGTGCTACGCATACTTGAGAACTGGAAATTAACTTGACTCGGCATAAGCTTAAGCCAAATAAATCATGCATGACGTGAAGCAACAGCATAATGAGATGGGAGATACGAACAAGGGTTTGGTCTAGTGGTAATACCACTAGCTTTGAACCTAGAGGACCCAGGTTCAAATCCCTTCAGTAGTACCTCCCTAATCACAAAAAGTAAACCTATATCACCCTTATCTAAAAAAAAAAAAAAGAGATGGGAGATGAAGTTTAGTAGCAAGCAGACGACAGAACTTTTTTTGAGTTTGGTGTCTCTGTCCATCTTTAACATGGCAAGCTTCATTCAAATCAAATAAAAAATCTCAAGCAATTGGAAACAGGATGAGACATGTATATCTGCATATTTAATATGCTGCATGAGAAAGTAGATAGAGAATTCTGCAGAGTTTCTTAGCACAACAATCAGCAATCAGAAATTCAATGAGACAAGCCTGTTATGAAAATAAAGAATAGTTCCTCTCAGAATCAGTTTCATCAATGCATTTCCTAAACCTAACAGAGATGCTATGGAAGAGAAGAGCCAGGGAAACAAAGCTAAATCCTTTCAAGCAGAAGCAATTACCAATTCTTGAGGGACTGGAGTTGTGGCTGCCTAGCTGCTCTGGACCAAACAATTGTAGCTTCCATCATACACACCTTTCAATTTCTCGTATGATGGAATGGGTGTAGGCCAGCAAAAGAGTCTAGGCTGGATATGAAACATAATATAATGAGGTTTATACTCGTATTGTCTTCGTTCAACCAGCTCTAGCTCTCCACTTCTTAAATTGAAGGAGAAGACACCAAGTGAATCCGAAGAATGTAACATATATGAATCCGCAGTATATAACTCTAAGTAGACGATTTCTGGGTTCTCGGGATGCAGGTCACACGCACGAGACATTAACACCTGCATGTCCTTCAACTTTGATATGTTGTTTAAGGATACTTGATACACAATCACCCATGATCTTTTCCCATCATCTTCTTCCAGTCTCCAAACCATCAAACTACTACGTACAGAATTGCAACTAGCTAGATACAAAGCTCCTTTTGAGACCGCAATATTAGAACTTCTCGACATAGCAAAAGCACCACTGAAGAAAGACCAAATACTTGGCCATCTCCTGTGTCAAGGTTATTATCATCGGAATTCTTACTGAAGGGCTCACAAACTAACCTTGCAACCATTCCCACACGAACACCTCTCATTTCAGGAGCCAAAGGAAGGGCGATCCATTGCTTGGTAAACCAATTGCAGACCAAGTATAATCTGGCAAGCTCGTCATTAATGTACTTCTCCTCCCACAGCCACCCGCACAACACCAAATCCTGGAAGCAATCTAAAATCCTGCAAAAAGGCCTAATTTCATCAGGCAGAGAGATGGAGCTCAAAAGGGATGATAGGTCCAAGGGCACTTCTACTGCGTTCCTGACCTTGCTCTGGTGGTGAGAAACGAAACGGCGCTTGAAGTAGCTGGTGGAAACGAGTGAGTTCCACCGTTTGCAGACGGGTTTGCAACGCCAGGCGGTTATAGGGTCCGGGAGGCGAATCAGAATTTCCAGAAGGAGATCATCGTCTTCCAGTTTGCTGATCGGACTTCCTTTCAATTTGATTCCGCGGCGTCGTTTTGTCCTGGGGGCCGACGGGAAACGACGAAATAGGTCCAGAGCTGGGAAGCTGCGGAACTCGGTCGCCGGTGAGAGAGCTTTGAAACAACTGAGACGGCGAGAGCGAAGACAGTAACCCACCGGAGGGGCTGAGAGATGATCGTCTCCGAGTTTGCTGATTAGGGTTTCATCCGATTGCATTCGACGACGCGTCGACGCCGGTTTGACCTGGGCGGGGATGAGGGAAAACGAAGCATGGCGGCAAACGGGATGGAAAGAAGATACCCAACCGGCAATAAATAATCCGACGGACGGAGAAGCCTGGATTCTTCGGTTCAGAGTGCAAGGAGGGAGAGCAATAAATAATCCGACGGAAAGGAGTAAAGTCGAAAATAACAAGACTGAGAAGTGGGCCAATACAGTGGCCCAATCTCTCAAGTAAGTCCTATCTTCTATGGGAATCGGACTCTTGTAAGAAAAAGGTAATTTTACCTATTAATCCAAACATTTTAGAAAATAGAATCTTCTTGTAAAATTGTAAAATTTTAATAGAATAACATATTATGGATGCGTTCATTTATAAATTTTTTAGCCTATTTCAACAAATGTCGTGAAAAAAACTAGACGTAAGTTGAAGTAAATAAAATTTTATTAAAATTCAAACAATATTTGTGAATTTTGATACCTTTCACCTCGGTTTATTCATTTGAATTTTTAATTATTTATAGAATATTTTTATGGTGTAGAATAAGGGGTCGTTTGCTTGTTGGATTTGGGTCATGGATTTGGTACCCAAATTCCAAGTTTGATGGATTTAACACAAGTCCATTGTTTGTTGAAGGGTGCTAAATCCGTGGGGTCCACGGATTTGGTCTTTATTTTGGAACCAAATCCGCGGACCCCACGGATTTGTAAATCCCACATATTAATTTGGGATTTGCAAATCCTTGATGGTTAGTTATTTATTTAACAAATCCATCACAAATCCATCATCAAATCTATCATGCAAACATTAGACTCTTCAAATCCATAATCCAATAAATCTATCATAAATCCCAAGGTTTTTATTGGCAAAAACCCTCATTTTTCAAATCCAACAAGCAAACGACCCCTAAGTACATATTTTGTGGTGGGTTGAGTTTTTACTTAAAAATATTGCCAACCCGATCCAATTAGAAACAAACCGTAGGATTTTAATTTTTTTGGGTGGGTTTGAGTTTAATATTCACTAATCGGTGTACATGGGTCGGGTGATTAAAATGTCTAAACCCGAACCACCCGACCATGTACACCCCTACACCATGTACACCCAGATGAAATCATATGGAATGAGAATGAAAACTAAACATTATTTTTTGTTTTCATTTCTAAATAACTGAAATGAAATGGAAAATAAGGAATGAGAATGGATACTAAACAAGGCATAAGCAAACAATGGAGTTTGGACAAAGTACACGATAGATCCAAATCTGTCATCAAATCCATCACCAAATCAATCACCAAATCCATCAAGCAAACCCAAGATTTCATACCCCACCAGGAAACGCAATTTCCCATTTTCTTCTTAAATCCAGTACCCCCAAATCTCTGGCTCTTGTACCCAGTCGTGGGCTTTAATGATGAAGCTCAATTTCGGCACCTACAAATCTCTTGTAATGAATGGGGACTTAGTTGTACTAGGATTTAGTTGAGGGACCAGTTTGTAATTAGGTGGTCATATAAAAGGAGGGAATAAGCTGTAAAGAGGATTATGAAAGGCTAAATTACACGTTTGATCACTCAAATTATACAAATCTTTCACGTTTGCCACCCGAATTACTTTTCTTTCTTATTCGCCACTAACTTTACGAATCGTTTCACGGTTGGTCACCGGCCGTTACACTCCGTTAAGTTTGTCCTACGTGGCAGTCAACTATAAAGTTTGACCGTTAACTAGATGACGTGGAAATTTAAAAAAAAAAATTCTTTCCACCTCATCATTACACTTATTTTGTCTATATAATTTATCATATTAATAATTTAATAAAATTCAATAAATTACAAACATGAGCAAATCCAAATGCTATCATCCTCACCCTCACCATCCACTCCATCGTTTCCCGTTTCCGTCGCCGTCGCTCGAAACGGCATGGCGGAGATCATAGCCAACGATCAAGGCAACCGGATCACACCTTCCACCGTGGCCTTCTCCGTCGCCGATTCCGAGCGCCTCGTCGGTGAAGCCGCCAAGAATCAGGCGGCATTCAACCCTCGCCGGACTTTCTTCGACGCCAAGCGCCTAATGGGGAAAATATTCGAGGACCCAGAAGTTCAGAGGGATTTGAGGTACTTACCCTATCCCGTGGTCAATCGAGGCCGGAAGCCGTACTTCGAAATCAAAGTGGTTAAATCAGAAGAAGAAGGGCGGCGGAGGAGGAGAAATCAAAATATGGTTTACCCCAGAAGAGATCAGCGCCATGGTTTTGGGGAAGTTGAAGGAAACCGCTAAATCTTACCTCGGAGAACCCGTAAGCGGCGCGGTTGTCACTGTCCCGGCCTATTTCAACGACTTGCAGAGGCAGGCCACAAAGGACGCGGGCAAAATCGCGGGGCTAAACGTCCTCCGAATCATCAACGAGCCCACCGCGGCGGCAATAGCGTATGGTTTGAATAACCTAAATCGGAAGAGGAAGCAAAAGAAGAGCAAGATTCTGATGTATGATTTGGGCGGGGGAACTTTTGATGTTAGTGTTTTGGAAGTAGATATTTTCATAAAAGAGAGCATGAAGGTGCAGTGGATGAAGAAGTGGTTCTTCGTGGAGACGCTGGACAGAATCCTTCCCCATTTTTGGACTTGATGCAGGAGATAGTCTGGTGACGGAAACGATGGAGTGGATGGTGAGGGTGAGGAAGTTGAGCATTTGGATTTGCCCATTTTTGTAATTTATTAAATTATTAATATGATAAATTATATAGACAAAATAAGTGCAATGATGAGGTGGAAAGAAATTTTTTTTTAAATTTCCACGTCATCTAGTTAACGGTCAAACTTTATAGTTGACTGCCACGTAGGACAAACTTAACGGAGTGTAACGGCCGGTGACCAACCGTGAAACGATTCGTAAAGTTAGTGGCGAATAAGAAAGAAAAGTAATTCGGATGGCAAACGTGAAAGATTTGTATAATTTGAGTGACCAAACGTGTAATTTAGCCGATTATGAAATGAAAAAACTGAAAATTTCCGCTCTTCTGGTTCTTTGCCCTCTATCTCCTCTTCTCTGATCTCTTCCTTTACTTCCAGCCATCATGTTGACTCCGTTGTCGCTTTCCACCATCGACCACTGTTGCCAGCGAGTCCTACCCCCAGTTCGATATGCTTCTTTGTCTCCAGCGGCACTCACTTTCCCTTGCTCCAGTGGCACTCCCCGTTCGTCACCAATGCAGGCTTTTGTGGAGGTTCTTCCTTTCTCCGACAGCGGCTACAAGGGCATCGTCAGTGTCCCTTCGCCTTCTGCCCCGGTGGACCGAGAGCAAGTTGTAGCCGAGGTTATGTTTTCGTACTGTGGAACTCCTCCTCCACCATCGGTAGAGTTAGAGGCAGGTCAGAATGTACCAATTCCACTGCGGGATACTTGCCTGCCACCTGTTCGACGTATTGCAGAGTTGGATTGGTCTTGTTTGCCACAAGTTCATGTTCCGGAAGAAGCCGATGACAAATTCCAAATCAACATCCCAACTTCCGGTAATCTCTATTCTCAGTTGCCATTGGAATTGCCTACTTTCAATGGCGAGTACCCTAAGGATTGGATGAGGCCGTGAGAGAAGTGGTTTAGACGGTATGGGATTCCTGAGCATGACCAAGTTGAGACAACGACAGTTCACTTAGGGCGTAAGCCAGCTGTATGGCTCGAGAAGTGGAGTTTTCGACGTCCTGTCTTGGTTTGGAGTGAGTTTGCAGCTGCTCTGTGCCGAAGTTTTGGACAATTTGGATGGTACATAGACCCGGCTGAGCAACCAGATAGAGGCTCAATTGACATTGAAAAGATAATCAATGTTGGTGGTGTAATTGGAGATACCTCACAGTCGTTCTTTGCTCCTTCCAACAAAGTATGTACGTTTGTCTACAAAGGCAAGGCATTGGATGAAATATTGGATATCTGTTTTTCTGGCAGCTTGCTTGTGCTAGAAGGCAACCTACTTCGGAGCAACTTCGAGCCTTTTGTTTGAAGCCTTCCATATATCCAATCTTTCATCCAATGCCTTGCCTTTGTAGACAAACATACCTACTTTCATTTTGTAGAGGCCTCTGGACTCGTCTCTCATCCATGCTTCTCGAATTGAGCTCCAAAGTAGGCTTCGCAAACACATTCCCAGACTTGCCCATTTTCAAGTATTTTCCCAGTTTTGGCATAGCCTTTTAATCAAGTTCAAAATTGGTCTTCTGCACTTCCTATCGATCTCCCAAGCACTTCAATGTGTAGAGGGACACTCCAGCTTCAAAACAAGCTATTAATCTCCAATTTTCATCGAGCCAATTGTAAGATATGAACCTCTAAAGTAGGCACCATGAAACCGTTTTTACACTGAAACAATAGATTAGGTCGACCTAATCCTAACTGAGGTCGACCGAAAAGTGCAAGTTACGGTGACATGAAAGGCACCATAGGCACATCCTATTATTCATGATTTACCTTATTAATAACGAACCAAATTAGCAAGAAAGAATAAATTTGATCCAATATTTATATGTAATGAAGATAATATCAACGCATAATTTTTTTAAGTGTTATAAGTTTGAGAATACCACGAATTAAGCGGAGTTGTGAGCTCAACGATGTAACGAGTTGAACGAGGTTGAAAAGTTCAATGAAGTTGCGGGGTCAGTGACATCGACGTCGTTAATGTACACATTGTTGCGGGCCATATTTTGCAAGTGCAATGAGGTTGTTGACTTCAAAAGTGTTGCGATACCAAAAAGCGACATTGTTTACTCAATAGCAACGTCGCGGTGGCGAACAGTTTAACCACATTGGCTGCGAGTTGAACAGTGTTATACAATCGATGGTATAGAGAGTTCAACTCTCCCACGAGGTTGGCAGTGTTGCGAGCTGAGCAATGTCGTGAGGTTAAACATCGTCAAAGTTGTGGGGAAAATAACGAAGTTGTTTTAATGAAGCTCCACGGAGAAGCATGTTGTTTCCTGCACGTGATTTTCACATAAG